TTCAGGTCACAACTAGAGATGGCAAGACCTGTGTCATGTATACATGATATCAGAGTTATGAAAACATTCAGGACACTACCAAAGATAGCAAGACCTGTGTCGTGGATACATGATATCAGAGTTATGAAAACATTCTGGTCACCACTAGAGATAGCAAGACCTGTGTCATGTATACATGATATCAGAGTTATGAAAACATTCAGGTCACAACTAGGGATAGCAAGACCTGTGTCGTGGATACATGATATCAGAGTTATGAAAACATTCTGGTCACAACTAGAGATGGCAAGACTTGTGTTGTGTATACATGATATCAGAGTTATGAAAACATTCAGGTCACTAGAGACAGCAAGACCTGCCGTGTATAGAGATAGCAAGACCAGGTCACCACTAGAGATAGCAAGACCTGTGCATACATGATATCAGAGTTATGAAAACATTCAGGTCACCACCAGAGATGGCAAGACTTGTGTTGTGTATACATGATATAAGAGTTATGAAAACATTCAGGTCACCACTAGAGACAGCAAGACCTGTGCCGTGTATACATGATATCAGAGTTATGAAAACATTCAGGTCACCACTAGAGATAGCAAGACCTGTGCCGTGTATACATGATATCAGAGTTATGAAAACATTCAGGTCACCACCAGAGATGGCAAGACTTGTGTTGTGTATACATGATATAAGAGTTATGAAAACATTCAGGTCACCACTAGAGACAGCAAGACCTGTGCCGTGTATACATGATATCAGAGTTATGAAAACATTCAGGTCACCACTAGAGATAGCAAGACCTGTGCCATGTATACATGATATCAGAGTTATGAAAACATTCAGGTCACCACCAGAGATGGCAAGACTTGTGTTGTGTATACATGATATAAGAGTTATGAAAACATTCAGGTCCCCACTAGAGACAGCAAGACCTGTGCCGTGTATACATGATATCAGAGTTATGAAAACATTCAGGTCACCACTAGAGATAGCAAGACCTGTGCCGTGTATACATGATATCAGAGTTATGAAAACATTCAGGTCACCACCAGAGATGGCAAGACTTGTGTTGTGTATACATGATATCAGAGTTATGAAAACATTCAGGTCACCACCAGAGATAGCAAGACCTATGCCGTGTATACATGATATCAGAGTTATGAAAACATTCAGGTCACCACCAGAGATGGCAAGACCTGTGTTCAACATAAAGAAGAAATGGGAAGGTGAAGGGTGGGGGATGAAGAAAGGGGAAGTGACTTGTAGGGATGAAGAATTTGGTATGTGAAAGGGGGAGAGAGGGGGATGAAGAAAGGGGAAGGTGGAGGGGGGGATGAAGAAAAGGGGGAGGTAAAGGGGGGTGGTGGGAAAGGGGAGGTGAAGGGGGGAGGTGAAAGGGGAGGTGAGATGAGGAAAGGGGAGGTGAAGTGGGGATGAGGAAAGGGGGGATGAGGAAAGGGGAGGTGAAGAGGGGGGGATGAGGAAAGGGAGAGGTGAAAGGGGGTGTGGGATGAAGAAAGTGGAGGTGAAGGGAGGGATGAGGAAAGGAGGAGGTGAGGTGTAGGGAGAGGGTGGGGATGAGGAAAGGGTGTGGGATGAAGATGGGGGTGAGGAAAAATGGGGAGAAGATGAAGGAGGTGAAGGGGTGAAGAAAGTTGGAGGTGAAGGGTGGGGGTGAAAGGTGGAGGATGAAGGGGTGAACAAAGCATGGGAGGTAGAGGTGAAGTTGGAGGTGGGTGGGGATGGGATGCTTGATGGGGTGTAGAAAGGTGAAGGGGTGAACAAAGGAAGGTAATGGGGGCTGATGAAGAAAGTGATGAAGAGGTGAAGGGTGGGGAAGATAAAGAAGGGGAGGTTGGGGGGTGTAGAAAGGTGAAGGGGTGAACAAAGGAAGGTAATGGGTGGATGAAGAAAGTTGGAGATGAAGGGCAGGGGATGAAGGAGGTGAAGGGTGGGGGTGAAGAAAGGGGAGGTGGAAGGGATGAAGAAAGGGGTGAAGGGTGGGGGAAGAAGTTGGAGGGCGGGGGATAGAAGGGAAAAAGGAGATGAAGGGTGGGGAAGAGTGGAGGTGAAGGGTGGGGACAAAGTTGGAGATGAAAGAGGTGGGATGGGAAGAAAGAAGAAAATCCCCAGAAAGTTGGATGAAGGGTCTATAAGAAATTTGTGAAGGTGAAGGGTGGGGGATGAAGAGGTGAAGGGTGGGGGGTGAAGAAAAGGATTGTAGTAGGGAGAAAGGTAATAGGGTAGGACAAGGTCATATAAACAAAGAAGAAAATCCCCAGTTCATATCCCGCCTGAAGGTCCAGGGACACCAGGGTTCAGGGGAAGATATCCTCTGGAACAAGGAATAGAGACAATCTCGGGGTCCCTGTACTTCCACCACCCCGGGCTATCTCCAACATATTACTACCCTCGCCTCTCTCTATCTGATAAATCACCATCAAACACACATTTGATACGTCAATAAAGAGCAGAGCTGTGTGTGCCACATTCCTCCCTCGTGCATCACAAAAAGCAGAGTACTGAATGCTACAACTCCTGCAATCTTGGGCAATTATCATATCTGCAATTATTTATTATGTATATCCTCCTACCATGACTGTAGCGACACATGGTATAGAAAACTTATCTTCCAGATACTAACTGATGGATGATGATATGTGAATGAACACCACTTCCTAACTGCAGCCACCACACACAGGCATGGCACTGACGTCCTTGTGAAGAACCATCTTTGATATCATCTTATGAAACTGGGTGCACTTTTAACATCAGTTCGTTTTTTGATCATGTTGAACAGAAGACTGAAATATCAGACATTTATCAGATTTGCAAATGATTTCTATGGCTTAAGGTTAGGTTACTTTTATTTAGCTTGAGCAATATTTCATTTAGCTTGCTTCAAAAAATTCATTTTTATACATTATCTTTGGAAGTGGGTAGCAGTAAATTTGATTTTGATCATGTTTAACAAAATACTGAAATATCATTCCTCTAATTGTAGGGAATGTACATATTTGCAGCTGATATCTGTGGCTTGCTTCTTTGCATTTTTGACTTGAGATATATATCATGCTTAAACTGTTAAAAGGTGAATTCTTGCAAGTTTTGTGTTGGTAGTGGGTGGCCAAGTGGTTAAAGTGTTCGCTCATCATGCCTAAAAGCTGGGTTTGGTTCCCAAAATGGACTCAATGTGTTTTTGCATTTTCTGCGCAAAAATCAGATTTACATAGTGTCTGATTAAGTGTCTAACCCCATTAACACAAAAAGTATTTATGCCAATTCTTAAATGGTGCTAGGAACCAAAGTCCATGTTATCATGAAGATATTTTATAATATGTCAATCATCAATTATAAGCACTCTCAAATAGGGATGGCTATCAATATAGATCATACAGATCGATAATCGTTCACTAAGTATTGATCGGTTATCAGTAAGCATTGAAGAAGAAAAAATATGTCTGAGAGAAATGAATATATTTCAGACTACTGGTGAGTGGTGACATGCTTATGCATGGATTACAAAACAGCGTCCTGAACATAATGTGGAAGTAGTAAATGAATAAATACCTATCTTTATGTTTTGTATGAGTAAAGTACATCATTCTTCGATCACAAAAGTTTATCCTAAATTGTGCATCCTGAATAATTCTTTATACATTTAAAATCAGCATCTGTTATCATGTTATACAATACGTTTCATCAACAATTGATTATCAGCATTTCTAAGATGCTTTGGTGAAAGAGCAAAGGTGCCGACAGTACTTTAGCAGATGATAAAGTGCACTTTTTTGCATTATGTCACAATGTATTGGCGTCACTGCGCCATTCTAGTCTGCCCCCTCGTAATCAAACACTTTTACACTTAACAGGAACACGTCACAATGTAACTGACGTCACGATGCATGTGATCAGTTGTCATCGCCTTGTAAAGCCTCCTACAGTAAACTACTCTGTAGCACCCCGTTTCTTGGTTTGCAGTTGTTTCGCGCAGCTAACATCACTGGTGGAGACATTACATTTATGTTTTCCGACGGATAAAATGTCTCAGTTCGGCTCACAATTTTACAGCGACACGGTAACATTCGCAATGTTTTCATTCCCACAATGCAATCGTGGAATGTCACTTGACTAGTCAGCTTCATCTGGATGTACTTATCTAAACTTACGTTGGTAGTAGAAACGCAACGTTCATATTGCCCCACATGGTTTACGTTAATCACAGATGTAATTAAAATAATTTAGAGAAAATATTTAACCCAAACGTAAACTGTCATCAAACTGTTTATCATTTGTTTTTCTGATAACTTTCGTCTTAACGTAGGGGGGCAGACACGTCAATAGAACAGCGTGTCAGTTACCCCTGTGCCAGGATTGTTAATTTAGCTCACCGACACCGCCGTTTGTTTTCTGCCTTAGATTAATCGTAATTATCCTTCTAAAGTATTAAATTTGGCATCTTAGAAAAGAAATACAGTTCGCTCTACCACCATATATAGTGTAATAAAAGTGTGCTTTATTACACTATACATGGTGGTAGAGCGAACTGTATTTCTTAAATACAATTAATAATTCACTACCTCATCTTTGGTAGTCAGTCAATCATTGATTGCAATCATTCATCAGAACAAAGAACACATAACTATTCTCTCGAAGGGAACTCTAATCCCAACTTCCATGCTATTATATCTTTTATCAATAACAGATTTTTAAATTAGACAAAAAAGTTTTGAATGATTGTTTTTCATAGAAGTACCCATTCACAAGTTTAAGTGAGTGAGTGAATGAGTATGGTTTTACACCGCTTTTAGCAATATTCCAGCAATATCACGGCGGGGGACACCAGAAATGGACTTCACACATTGTGCCCATGTGGGGATTTGAACCCGGGTCAACAGCGTAACGAGCCGACGCTTTAACCATTAGGCTACCCCACCGCCCCCACAAGTTTAAATTAGTGAACACAGTGACCATGAGAACAGGTGATACATTGATCAGCTTACCTTTCAGCATTAGAACTCCCTCTCTGTCTGTGATGACTATTGCATGGAGGCCATCCACCCTGAAACCAATAACAGAACAGTCGTAGCCAGACTTATCCTGTAACCATGGTAACAGAACAACAGTGTCAGCCAAACATATGCTGTAAAATATGTCAGACATATTCCATTCCATATCAACATTTTCTGCCACAGTAGTACAGAGCCAGTCAAATATGTTTCTAAAAAAATTGTTTATTGGTTGCTTAACATTGCACTCAGTCTGGATCAGACAATCCAGCAATCAACAGCATGAACATTGGGTCCTTTGGGGTTACCCCATCGGTAACAACCACAAGCAGGTGCACAGGCAAACTCACCTGCAAAAAAAACTACAACAAAAACAACACGTGGTTGGTTGGTTGGTTTGTTGTTTTACGCGGCACTCAGCAATATTCCAGCTGTATGGCGGCTGTCTGTTTATAATCAAGTCTGGACCAGGAAATCCAGTTATCAACTTTATGAACATTGATCTACGCAGTTGGGATACGATGACATGTGTCAACCAAGTCAGCGAGCCTGACCATCCGTTCCTGTTAGTCGCCTCTTATGACAAGCATGGGTTACTGAAGATCAATTCTAACCCGGATCTTCACAGGTGTCCTCAAAAGTAGACAGTCAACATATTTAAACGGAAAGACTTTTCACAGTCCATGGGAAACATTGTCATATTATAATGTTGGACATTCCAGAATATCTTTCTGTTCAAATTGTCTAAATTTAAAATTAACATTTTTCAAATCATAGTCTGGAATGTAAGTCTCCGTTTTGAAACTAGAGCTGTGAAGCAAGAAAACTTCTTTCTGATTGGCTAATGTTGAGGTCATTCTCTGGTTAAAGTTCACATAAGGTCATCCAGATGTCACCTGACCTCACATCTTTGGTTAGCACTAGTGGGCGCTATTACCTCATCTCAATGAGACGAGGATGATATGAGTAAAACTGCAACAGTAAATGGAAACAGTTTTACAACCACGTTCATAATAATCTAAAAGATGACCTTGACCTTTGATGGAGACGACACAAACTTTTAATGTCGTATGGTTTGTAAAGATGCAAAATTTCAAGCTGGTAGAGTTAACCCTGCCTGTGACTACTGACAATGATATAATCATAGTGATAACAGCCTCAATATTAGTGAGATTCTTCTGTCATGCCTTTGAACCTTCACCTTCATAGTAGCATATCCTCTAATGGCCATGACAAGGGAGAAAGATGTAACCAGAAACAGTTTAAGTGATTATTTCCTGTCTCATGCACAAAATCTTTGTGTAGAAGGCATAGAAAAATCATTGGGGACAGAGACAAGTGAAATTCCATGATTAAAGAATCTGCAAATTTGGTGACAATTTTGAAGGTCATCTTGATATGTTTTCAACACTTTAAAATTAAATATTAACACAATAACTTACGTTTAGGGAAGGTAATCAACATGAATGGCCTGACAAAGTTGATATTTTCATGAGCAGTGTCTGAGATTGAAACAGGTGGACCCTGGTATGACAAAGGGAAACAACTCTTCATAGTAAATATCCAAGCAGTTCAGAAGACTAGGCTTCCTGTGTCCCTGTCTTTTGAATATGTTGACCACTAACATATTTTGAGTTGATGCATTAAATGAATATAAATGATCAGACATTAAGAAATCTTTGCCTCTAGAATGTTCCCTGGCTTCATATGTAATGGGGCTGACAGTTTTAGGCAAGGGAGGTAACTTGATACCCAGCATTCCACACCTGATTCTACAGTCGATGAAACTCATCAGTACAAATTAGCACTGTAAAAACGTGTTTAATTGTTTAATTTAGGACCGTAAGTATTTACATTCCACTTATCTCCTGAATATCTACATTTACAATAAGATAAAAAGTACATTCTTTACTTCACTTATCTCGAATTACATGAGACTCCCACTATATTTTAAAAAGACTCTCCATGTTTCTTAGAAATTTCATGTTTATTTTATAAGAACATGTTTATTTCACTATTGCCTAAAACTCCACGATAATGTCACCTCGCATTGAATGAACATTTCTAAAACAATTTCCGTCAATCAGAAAGAGATAATGTACAGAAAAGCGTTCAGGTTACCTTGTCCTTTGGTTTCCTAAGGAGGCAATACACTGATGATTAAACACATCACAGTAGGGAGTATCCTCTTATCTTATCTAGGGCATCAATCTATCGTTAACATTAATGAAACATGAAAAATGTTATAATCAAATATTACTGAATCATATGGACACATTGGATGTTCATGCAATTTGGCGTTCATCCAAACAAGGTTCACCTAGCAACTGAGCAAGCATCATTCATCAACCTTTAAGACCACACATTGGGAGAAGATACATTTTCTAAGGAAGGTGAAATCTGCTTAAAATTCTTAAATGATTATCGAGGCTGACATCCAGGGGAACATCAACCAGAGTCTCTGTCATGACTTCTACCATGAAGGTGTGAGTGAGTTAGGAATACTACCACTTAGAACACTATTCAGTTTATGTGATGGTGTGTCTGCTAAATGAGGGAGGTAAGTATGCAGTGATGCCGACTGCAGGCGTTTACCATACTTGTGAAACCCATGAGCCTGTTGATTGGGGCTGAAAAGCCTGTGAACATAATTGGGATTTGAACCACTGACCATAGAGTACTGGCGTGCCCTAATCTGTCTTACGGACACTGAAACAAATATACCCAATATAGCCCATGCAAGTCTAGATTACGGCAGTTTCAGGAAGAAATCTCTGGGCTCATTTTGATAATATTTAGAGCGGTCGGGTAGCCTAGAGGTTAAAGTGTTTGCTTGTCACGCTTATGATCCGTGGCCAATTCTCCACATGGGTACAATGAGTGAAGCCCATTTCTGGTGTCCCCTGCCATGAAGTTGCTGGAATATTGCTAAAAGCGGCATAAACCTAAACTCACTCATTCACTCTGATTGTGTTTTAAGAAAATAGTTAAGCAAATGTTTCTTCTGTAAAATTTTATTTCAGAGACTAGATATTGGTCTAGGCGAGCCCAAAATATTCATCACAGAATAGCAAAGTACAGTGACGGAGATGACTAGACCACCCATGCCCTTCTGACTCCATAGTAGTTTCAGGATCTGGAGTTTGTTTAACAAGATGGTCCTGTTCTCCAAACAGGTATGGACTTAAATCTTTACATCCTCCTGGATTTCAACTGATTTCCTAAGACGATCATATCAGTGACTTAATGACAGATGTGGCCAGGCTCCGAAACATCCCAATAACTTGTCATCGTAACCCAAAGGTGTGATCATAATATCAATCACTGGTTTGTCTGGTCCAGACTTGACGGGTTCCTTACTGCCATGATACAGATAGAATATTAACAAATATCTTTAACATTGCACTGGCTTTATCAGTAGCCTGGTAAAGGGCGCTAAAAGTTATAATCATTCCTTGTCAGAATACTCAGATCTGGATCCTGGGCTCTTATTCTTGAAAGGTTCGTAACCCTAAGGATTCTTAACTTTGATTGTAGCCAATGTGTTAAGAATGGGCTCAAGAAGTTCTTAGGGCTACGAACATTTCGAGAATAGCTAACCAGGTTCACAAAGCGTTCGTAACATTACGAGCTAGCTGTAACTCTAAACTAAATAACTGGCTAATGAATGACGTAGTGCTATGAATGATTTGTGGATGGGGTCCCTGATTTGTTCACGTTACATGGATAAAGTATCCCACCAGGGAAGAAAATAAATGCCTGAGCAGGAGAATATATCCCTTATACAACACCCTGAAGAGAACAGGCTGCACAAGGATTTCTAAGCAAGAGAATAAATCATTTATACGATATTATGAAGCAAAATGCCATATATTGTTTTCTGGTCAATGAAAGTCATGTGACACAGCATAAATGAACCTCTGCTCAACGGAACAGCCATTTTTAATCAATTTTGTATAAATTCACTCATGGTGACAGTGACACAATGAAACAGGTTGATAAAATATATTTGCCTCCAGCTCGTGGTGGGAAACCTCATGCAGGATGCTGGATAACACCACATATACCTTTTCCCTACATGTAAAGAGCTTGACCTTTGCCTTACACGTAAAGTGCTTGACCTTTCCTTACACATAAAGTGCTTGACCTTTCCTTACACGTAAAGTGCTTGACCTTTGCCTTACACGTAAAGTGATTGACCTTTGCCTTACACGTAAAGTGCTTGACCTTTCCACCCATTTCTGGTGTCCCCCCGCCGTGATATTGCTGGAATATTGCTAAAAGCGGCGTAAACCTAAACTCACTCACTCACTTGACCTTTCCTTACACGTAAAGTGCTTGATCTTTACTTACACACAAAGTGCTTAACCTTTCCGCCCATTTCTGGTGTCCCCAGCCGTGATATTGCTGGAATATTGCTAACAGCGGCGTAAACCTAAACTCACTCACTCACTTGACCTTTCCTTACACATAAAGTGCTTGATTTTTACTTACACATAAAGTGCTTGACCTTACCTTACATGTCAAGTGCTTCACGTAAAGTGCTTGATTTGTAAAGGTCAATGGTGTTTTGATAAATTTTCACATACCCCACTACAGTAGAAACAATATACCACTCCATCTTGGTAACATATATTTTGCTGATCTCTGTAATCCAATTAATTCAAGCTCCTTACAGTGAGCTGTATGCTTTACATAGTTTCTATTATATACTGACTTTCTGCACAGATCCTAAAAACTAATTGCCGGTTTAAGTCATTCCAAGTTGTTTAAGACATCGACGTGGAACAGGCCACATACACAGATATCTCAGGAGCTGATGAAGAGAATCTACTTATCTATACACATGGACACTTAAAATTATGGATTGTTGAGCAAGGGCTGGTTTCACATTTATTTAAAACATACTTATATCTTCAATCATTTTAAAGAATCTTGAATTAAATTAAAGTGAGTGACGGAGTATGGTTTTATGCCATTTTTAGCTATATTCCAGCAAAACCATGGCAAGGGAAACTAGCACAAGGCTTCACACATTGTACCCATGATGGGGAATCAAACCTGTGTCTCCAGCGTGATGACCGAACAAATTTTCAATAACAGCTGAAAACTATAGATCAGACTATCGATGGCAGTTAGGTTGCTCAGCCAGGTATGACGACGGACCGTCGACTCACCTGGCATGAAACGCATGTGCTGCCTACAGGTACAGGGGGTCATCTCAAAGATATTTTATGCTTTCATGTGTGTTGAATGTGTCTCATCTATTGATTAACATCTTAAGTGTCTTTCTTTCATAAAGTTTATGTTGAGATATGTAAAAGAGTATGATAACCCATAGGAAAGCTTAAATCAGCCATCGTATTAAATGTCTCAAAATACAGAGGTGGCATGATCAGTCGAAGATTGACAGGACTGGATATTATTTGTAAACTGAAATGACATGCCGTTTAATTCCCCAGTTTAATTCCCCTAAAGGACTATCTTATCTTAGCTGATATCTCTATCCCCCAGCCGACGACCCCTCCTACCTGTTTGTTTTTATAGTGATAGTGAGACTCCATGGCAGCTACATCCTTAAATGTTTCAGTATTAAAGTTATTTTTTTACGTCAGCTATTGTTTATAATGGAGATAAGTCTAATTTCAAAATGGGCATTTAAAACGTGTCCTTTGTAATACAATATCATTGCACACTAATTTGCATAAAGCCATGGTCTGTTCCAAATAAGTCGCCTTGGACTTGAGAAAACATTGCTTATTTCTGCACTAATCTCTCCTCAGTAGTCCTTTTTCTCCGTTTCCTATCTCCCTACCACTGAGACTGTAGTTAGGCTGAACTTAGTTTAACAGATATTTCACACTTTCACATATTAACTACGGTACATAAATTGTATACATAAATGTGAAAAATCAGTTATTTTCGATTTCCGACAGTGCTTCGAGTATGTATGTGTTAGCTGTCTCTTAAAACAATTATTCCAGTGCAATCTGATTTTTGTACATCTTGTGTGGATATGGGGCAAAATGGCTAATGGACATTTACACAAAGAAAGAAAGCATAGTATGGTGAAGCATAGTATTCTGGAAGGCAATGTTAACATGTTAGAAAGAGTTAACATTAAAACCAGACACGGTGTGGATGAAAACTACTTACATGGACATTAACTTGTGCAGACTTGCCTTCAGTTCCTGGAATATGATGGAAAGCATACATTGATAAAAAATCATTACAATAATTTAATAATATATACATTGAGGGATTGGGAAAGGCAGGGGCCATTTTGCACATTAGAATAAAAAATGGCCCATTAAAATTTTGAAGTTTACTATTGATACAAGGGCAGTGGCCCATTCTAAATTCAGAAAATGGCTAATAATCCTGAAAATAGCCAATTGTCAAGGTTGTCTATCCCAATCCCTGCATTGTAAATGAAAACCAAAACCAGGGTGGATTTTGAAACTGGGATGGTGGCATTGAGATACGATAGCAGTATGAACCAAGTATGACCACCCAATCCCCATATTTTCACAGACTTGTACACAAATGTCAGATCAGCCCTAACTAACGGTATCGGGTGGTCAAGCTTGCTGGCTTGGTTGACACATGTCATCGGTTCCCAAATGCGCAGATCGATGCTCATGCTGTTGATCACTGGATTTTCTGGTCCAGACTCGATTATTTACAGACAGCCGCCATACAGCTGGAATATTGCTGAGTGTGGCGTAAAACTAAACTCACTCACTCACTCAGATCAGCAATACCTATCCTTACCTAATCAACTGAATGACTCGCACCCCAAAAAGTGTATTCATAAACAATGAACAAATTTGTTTCTGTTGTTTTCTGTATAATGACCTGGAAATGATATTTCACTCATACTGATAATAATCACTGATCACAGAATGTGAACTGATTGTGGGTGACACTGTGTTAATTGATGCTAAGCCTAAAGGAAATTAACAAATATCACCATCAACATAGTGTTGTTGAAGTTAGATACAAAGTTGGGAGGTTTTGAGAAATGTGAATGAAAGTTTGAAAGGTGCATGAATAATTGTCTGGGGTTTTATACTGAATTAAAATGTGCTCAAAATGTCTGAATGTGTGATAACTGCACTATAAAGAAATTGCTATGAAAAAGCCACAAAAATATTCCGGATATGTGAATGTAGTGCAGTGAATGAATGATTATCAATATACATATAATCCTTTTACATATTTTGGTTAAGCAATCCAGGTTTACAAAGACCAAAGCCTCCTTAAATGAAACTTTGAGTATGAGTCAGACAAACAGTATGAATGTTCCAAATGTGGTAGTACTGGTACATATCAGACGGACATTTCTGGTTAGGTATTTTCGATGAGAATACATCTCTGTGGGTATGGATCGTCTAATATCCTACACGGTGTACGTATGGAATCGACATTGCCTTTTATTTTCACACTGGTTGGTTATCAGGGTAATTTTGCAATTGATCTAAGGAATGGGATTTAAACAGAATTTGTATGTGTCTAAGACGTTCACCCTTTCTGTTCTCACCAACATCTCATTATGATTATAGGATACCTAGGGCATTATCTGGGCGCGGCCGAGAGCCGCGATGGAGTCTGTCAGTCAAGACATGACCGTGTTACTGGGCAATGTCCTGACTATCTGACCCCATCGCGGCTCCCGGCTAATCTTGGGGAGGTGCCGGCAAAGTAAATACTTCCGCATCCTGTATGAAGAATGGTATCGGAGAAACGGCACAGCATCACTCATACAGATGAAAATAAGGAACTGTGATGTAAAGCTTCCTCAAAGAATTGAAGCAATCATGTGATTATTCCCGTTTTTCGTAAGTACCGCCTACATTGGTTATCTAATCAAATAAGTCAAATTTAGATCTGTCATCATATCCAGTTACCACTGAAGGTTTCTCGGCCTCGTTCATTTACAAAATAGTTTGTATCTTATCCAAATATTAAAGATACCACCCTAAGAAAACTCACCTCCGTCATGATTTGTTTATGTTTCAGAAAGCGGAAATTAAAGGGAGATAACGCTCATGTCATAACTGAGAGTCACACCACTAAAAATATTTCGTCCGCTGATATTTTCATAAAACTTTAAAAAGTGCTCGAACGCAGTATGAAGCGTTTCAATAAAATAAAAGATATCTAAGATACCCACCAGCAGTTGTGTTTTGAAGTGAAAAATATTGATTTATTATAGTTTTAAAACAAATTATTTATTTTTTTAAAATAAACACGTAAAAGAGCTCACTAACCGCCAGTGAAGTGAATTCATTTGGATATAATATAAATGAAAACCAAACATATGATGAAATCAGTCGATTAGTTGTTCTTGCCTTTGTGCCGCTCAAATAAATACCATACCAATACACTTGCACATTATTTAACCTGATCGTGATTACAAATCAATCAATTTTCATTATGAATTCCTATTATTGTAATAAGAGGCGCACACTAATGACCACGATATCAACCTCGCAATTGCACTCAATTAGCCACTGATAATGAATTTGATTGACAACAAGTGGTGTTTGGGACAATTCCCTCGAGATTTCAGTGGAGACGTTTTTACATCTATACTAATGTTCACGTAGATATATCGAACCAACTCACATTCATTTACGTAGCAAGGGGTGACAGGGTCTTTGGACATCATAAAATACTCTTCTGTGTGCTTGACCATACCTTGATGACTTTTTTGCCTTACGAGTAGGCGAAATGATTATCAGTGGTTTGTTAATAGTACTATATTACAATAACATAGCAAGATGGTCCAGGTCAAAAGTCGCCAGGTGAACCTGATCAGAGTTACATCCCTTTGTCTTGAACGGATAAGCTTTAAATCACTCTTTTGGTCAGTTTGCTTGGTTGATTGCGTGTCATCAATGACCTTGACGGTGTCGTACGGAATAACAGGGTTTCACTGTATAAAATTCAACATACATGGAGAATAGTGATGTGAGTAAACTGACGCTTGGATGTTGTTTTTTTTCTTTTTTTCTAGAGGAATAAGCTGTTAAATCGGTGCGATTAATCTCAACTTTAGTAAATCATCCCCAAACACCCGGTGCGTACTTTCTTTCGTACGCCAATTAATCCGGCATTGGTCCGGGTTAGCATGGCTCCCCAGATCGTACACGACGTTGCATCTAATATTGATGCATATTGATAAATCATTGCGACAAAACTCTATATATGGTATATATATATATTTAGAATTACACTCTCTCAGTAAAGTACAGATTCTAGTACTTTTGGGGTTGAGGCCAGTCCGGGACTCGTACCCACACTGTTAGAGTAGTAAGCCATAAAACCTACCCATCCACCACAGTTTCCAGCAAAATACATACATGCACATGATTGATTGATTGATTGATTGTAGTTTAACGCCGCACTCAGAAATATTCCAGCTGTATGGTGGCGGTCTGGACCAGACAATCCAGTGATCATGAGATATCTCGGCTAAAAGTGGAGTTTCATGAGTATGTGTCCTTAAGTCAAATAGTGATGACACCAGGTGTTCAAAACAATTGGGCGTTTCCTGCCCTACCTGTGCCACCCGGCACAAACACACGCACATGCAAGTCAAATGTTCACCTGAAAAAAAACCCAGGTACATTCGGTGTAAACGAAAATTCCATTCCAGGGGATTCCGTCCGACACTATTTTGGCGGTTGATTGGTCACATTTGGACATGACCCCTATCCTGTCCACATGCGAACCTTTTAAAAGCTTTACAAGTGTTTTGAATGCAAAATTATCGGCGACGTGATATTTGCCGAGTGATGGGTTTAAGTTGCATCCTTGGATATGAAACACGGGTGAATTAAATATATCAGGTGCTTCCTTTGGGTTACCCCGTCGGTAACAACCACAACCAGACGCACAGGCAAACTCACCTGCGAAAAACACACAACAAAAAACGACACGTGGCTGGTCGGTTGGTTGACGCCGCACTCGGCAATATTCCAGCCATATGGCGGCGGTCTGTAAATAACTGAGTCTGGACCAGACAACCCAGTGATCAACAGCATGAGCATCGATCTGCGCAACTGGGATACAATGACATGAATCAACCAAGTCAGCGAGCCTGACCACCCGATCCCGTTAGTCGCCTCTTACGACAAGCATGGGTTACTGAAGATCAATAACCCAGATCTTCACAGGTCAGTGACTGACTGAGTTTAGTTTTACACCGCTTTTAGCAATATGCCAGCAATATCACGGCGGGGACACCTGAAATGGGATTCACACATTGTACCCATGTGGGGATTCGAACCCGGGTCTTCGACGTGATGAGCCAACGCTTTAACCACTAGGCTACCCCACCACCCCTTCACAGATCAACAAACACGTGGACATATAGTACAAGTCCATATATGGAACTGCACCGGACAATTATTGATCACTGAAGAATGAAATTGGGAACATCCCTCGACATGCATACCATATACCTTTTGAATGAGTGAGTATGGGTTCACGCCGCTTTTAGCAATATTCCACCAACATCATGGCGGGGGACACCAGAAATGGGCTTCACACATTGTACCCATGTAGGGAATCGAACCCGGGTCTTCGGCGTGACGTGCGAACGCTTTAACCATTAGACTACCCCACCACCCCTATACCTTTTGAATCTTGTAACCTTGTTCAAACAACTTTTGAGAAAAATTCTTCTGTTTTTCCTACAGTCAACTCTTCACACGCCCCAACGAGTCATCCGAAATATTTTTGAGTGTTGAATAATGTAAATATGCTGTTTCATGCACGCCAGTTAACAATGGGCGACCGAAAAGACAGACTATAGTCTGTTTGCAGTGAAAACGTACCGATGAATTTCACTTTAAACAAAAACGTAAATCAAATAAAGTGAAATTAGAAGTACGAATCCTCACGATTTTACCTTGCCAATTGAACATTTAAATCTCAGAATTTTAAGTTGTTTAACAAACGATCATAGTTTTAAATCGCTATGGTTGGTTTGTATTACAAGGGGGTATGCACATTAAAATGAAACACCGAGAAGAAGTAGGGTTGGTCTAAGTTAACGCTCATCACGTGCTGCAGGTGCATTTGTATCACTGTTCCAATTACTGCGTTTACTCCCTTGTTATACAAACCAATAATAGCAATTTGAATCTATGATCTGTTAAACAACTTTTATCCTAAGTTGAATACAATTTTGAAATTTATATGTTTAATTGGCAAGGTAAAATTATGAGGATTCGCAATCTTAATTTCACTTTTATTGATTTACTTTTTTGTTTAAAGTGAAATTCATCGGTACGTTTTCACTGCAAACAGACTATAGTGATTGATAGTAAGAGCACCGACCCAGGCCACCTGGACATGATAACACGCAGTGTCTTGTGAGTTTTACGTCATATTCCAGCAATATCATGGCATGGACACCAGGAATTGCCTTCACAAATGTTTCTCATCGAATCGGACCAGGCCTTTGGCGTAACGAGCGAATGTTCAAACCACAAAGTTAACCCAACAACCCTATGTGTGTGACAAGGAGTATTTGGGTCTAATTCCAAAACCAAATTAAACTGTACGAGGATGTCATTTAGAGTTATCTATTAAATGTACAACTCATCTCATGTTTCTGCTGCTAATAAGTCTCACATTCCCAGACTGACAAATCACTGTCGATATTATCAGTCAAATCATACCATGATATCACTGATCGTGTTACATTAACACACACAATTTCACCTCACATCTCTGTTAAATATCTTCTGTTTTTAAAACATACATTGTAATATTTATCTTTGCTGAGCAAGCATATTATGGGTTAAAGGTGAACGGGGGTCAGGTCAACGTCTGGTGGTCGAGCATTCCACTTAACGCTCCCTTCCCCCTTCTAAGAAAGCCCCCTCCCCATCTACGAATCCCCTGGCTGTCTGCTGCTGCCGTTCTGCCAGCCTAAGCCCTAGTAACGACGGCCGGACCCCCACGGGGTTTCTGTCCCGGCCCTCAACAACCGCCGAGCACTGGGCCAATTCCCACATCAAAAAGATCAAATTAGCTAAATATATATAGTAGCAGTTCTGTGAAGGGTTTATCACCTGGAGTTCCTGACAGAGGCGTTTGATTTCGGATCTCTGTCTTTCTCGAGTGACAGAGTATTATGCTTGATCGGTGTAAGCCTTGCGTAGGCCAGACACCACAACGGCGTTCCCGACTTGCAATCTGGCGGGGTAACCCGAGCCAGCTTGTAACATGCCAGCTGTGAAGCCTGAGGGGGGATGGGGAGACGAGGGGAGGGTGGGGGATCTTCTGGGTGGTAGCGCTATTTGAATTCAAAGAATACATATCTTTTTAAGGAACTGATAAAAATGGTCTGGAGGGTAATAGACTGCATTCCTGTCAACCAATATCTTCGACTGCAGATTCCAAAAGAGGAATTGGTTCAGGGAAGACTACTCCAAGCTAAATATTCTTATGACGTTTTCAGCGTGTGAAAATGAAACCAGTTGTAACCTTCTTTTATAATGTACAATCAATACTGAATCAGTCTAGTATATTCGTACCATATCGCAAGATAGAGTTAGCAGCTGTTGATGTTGGAGCAAGTAAACACCAGTAAGTTATTTGCAGAAACGACTAACAAGCATATGACCTGATTAAACTGTTGAATAAGCTATGGCGTTATAAAGTAAATACATTAGCGTAAGGTTCCTTATCATCGCATGTGTGAAAACGTGGAAAAGCAACACAGTTTTCAAGATAAATTCAGTTTCAAGCAATCTTTATCTTTTTCTAAATAAGGATATAACTCATTTCAAGGTAATGTTCGACATTACCAACAGACCCGAATCGTCTGGTTAAACCTAACTAGGCATGTCAATGTAAAGGTTCCTGGAACTAAATTCTGATAACCGTCGAAAACATTATTTGTGGTTGCTCAGGTTAGAGTGAATAGTAATGTATGTAACTGATATCTATTACTGTGGAAGTGGATTTATTGTCACAGAGATTACCATGGTTCGAATCCCCATACGGGAGCAGAATATTTCTGTCAGAATCTGCTGTTCTCTGTTTCAAATTCCCAGTGTTGTAACACCAGACAAAAGCACCCACTCACTCACCCACTCGAATACTCTGAAAGCACACAATGTCCTCTTTTGAGACTTTAATGGAGAATATCAAACTCCAGTTTTTGTGATAAATCGCAAGTTATTGCCCGAGTGCATTTCTAAGTTTTATTTGGGAGATTATATTGTACTCCACTTTCATGTGATAAAGCACAAGATGTTCTCCGTGTACATTCCAAGGTTTTATTTGGAAAAGTATGTTATACTCTACTTTCATGTGATAAAACACAAGATAATCCCTGGTCGTATTTTAAGGTATTATTTGCGAGATTATATATAATATACTCCATGTTCATGTGTAAAAGTGCAAAGTATTCTCTGCCAGCATAATTTCAAAGCGTTATAATGTGGGAAAGTAAACGAAAGCAACGAGTCTCATTAGATATGTTGATAGGAATATGAATTTAACTTTGGTACACTTGTATTTAAACTCGAATGTTGAGGTATTGTAACGTCACCAATAAACAGGTAATGCGAAACTATGTCACAATGAATGACATTGGAGTTTTTCAGGAAACATCATTATGATGTGAACATGGGCGTGTGACCAACGTTAAGTTGTGTATAAAGTGTTGATGAAAAAGGATATGGACACTGTAAGTTCACCATTGACGTCACCCTGAAGACCCGGGTTCGATTCCCCAGATGGGCACAATGTGTGAAGCCTATTTCTGGTGTCCCTGCCGTGGTATTGCTGGAATAATGCTAACAGCGGTGTAATACTAAACTCACTCACTCACATTTCAGTCCTGCTTTTGTACTTCAGTTTGCAAAGAAAAACAATGCTGGAAATGCTGGAAATATTTGATATATTGCATCTGAATATTTCAATATTTTCCTAAACTTAAAAATCTTACATTTCCTTTTGTGAACAATGGTGCTATTCTAAATCGCATTTGAATAGTGGTGACCTAAGTCAGGTTTAGGTTATAGTTGTATTCACCGTGGTTGGTTTGCGTGTGTGTTCTTGTTACCTGTGGTCGTAATATATAAAATTGCACCCGAAACAAGATAACTACCTCATTAGAAAGTTTAGTCGAAAAAACGTTATTTTAGTTCAAATATTTTGATTAATCATGTCTGGAGATTTTATGACCGCTCCTAGAAATTCTCAAATTTTCCCTTCCAGAGACGGGAGTTCGTTAGTTTTTCTCTGTGTTTATATATTTTACAGGCAGTTGTATGCTGGGGTAATGGCATGTGGTACCTGTCAGAGGGTTGGCAGGACTAGGTCAGTGCATGTTTCTTGGAATTAATGTGTTTATATAGCATTTTCAATCCAGTTTCAGAAGGGGTAATGGGCACTAGTACCAACACTACCACATCTGCCCACATGCATTAATGTACGGACTCGAACCCAGACAGCTCTTAACACCAGGCACCCACATCGTCCTACAGACAACACATACTTTGTAATCTAAACAGATCCGGCTACACTGAGTGTTCAATGTGTTAGGGTAATATATCCATCGCTGTCTGCTTGATGATAGTCGTTACGAATAGATATCCTTCATGTTGTGAATGATTACATATTAGTGTATGTTCTGTATTAGATGAAGTTCATGTTTGTTACGATTAAATGCAGTTCATGTTGCTACGGTTAGATTTAGTTCATGTTGCTACGATTGGATACAGGTCAGGTTGTAATGATGAAATGTAGTTCATGTTTGTTACGATTGGATACAGGTCAGGTTGTCATGATGAAATGTAGTTCATGTTTGTTACGATTGGATACAGGTTAGGTTGTCATGATGAAATGTAGTTCATGTTTGTTACGATTGGATACAGGTCAGGTTGTCATGATGAAATGTAGTTCATGTTTGTTACGATTGGATACAGGTCAGGTTGTCATGATGAAATGTAGTTCATGTTTGTTACGATAGGATACAGGTCAGGTTGTCATGATGAAATGTAGTTCATGTTTGTTACGATTGGATACAGGTCAGGTTGTCATGATGAAATGTAGTTCATGTTTGTTACGATTGGATACAGGTCAGGTTGTCATGATGAAATGTAGTTCATGTTTGTTACGATTGGATACAGGTCAGGTTGTCATGATGAAATGTAGTTCATGTTTGTTACGATTGGATACAGGTCAGGTTGTCATGATGAAATGTAGTTCATGTTTGTTACGATTGGATACAGGTCAGGTTGTCATGATGAAATGTAGTTCATGTTTGTTACGGTTGGATACAGGTCAGGTTGTCATGATGAAATGTAGTTCAAGTTGCTACGGTTAAATGCAGTTTATGTTGCTAAGTTTAGATGTAGTTCGTGTACACTACAAATTAGTTTTCTTTTGGTACGGTTACATATAGTTCAGGGAGTTACGATTAAATGCAGTTCATGTTGCTACGATTGGATATAGATCAGGTTGTTACGATTAAATGCAGTTCATGTTGCTACGATTAGATGCTGTTCATGCTGGTACTATTAAATGTAGTTCATGTGTGTTACGATTAAATGTAGTTCATGTTGCTACGATTGGATATAGATCAGGTTGTTACGATTAAATGCAGTTCATGTTGCTACGATTAGATGCAGTTCATGCTGGTACTATTAAATGTAGTTCATGTGTGTTACGATTAAATGCAGTTCATGTTGCTACAATTGGATATAGATCAGGTTGTTACGATTAAATGCAGTTGCTACGATTGGATATAGATCAGGTTGTTACGATTAAATGCAGTTCATGTTGCTACGATTAGATGCAGTTCATGCTGGTACTATTAAATGTAGTTCATGTGTGTTACGATTAAATGCAGTTCATGTTGCTACAATTGGATATAGATCAGGTTGTTACGATTAAATGCAGTTCATGTTTGTTACGATTAAATGTAGTTCATGTTGCTACAATTGGATATAGATCAGGTTGTTACGAATAAATGTACTTCATGTTGCTGCGATTGGATGAAGTTCATGTTTGTTACGATTAAATGTAGTTCGTGTTGCTACGGTTAGATGTAGTTCGTGTACACTACAAATTAGTTTTCATTAGGCATGGATGATAATTTAATTTCGTTATAAATAAGGTCAGATCGTATGGTTAAAAGGTAATGTAGTTGGGAAAATTAGATACTCGGACTGTGGTCTGCTAAGATGGACATGTGCTGCTGTCTTCTTGGTTCGACATGAGTAGCTCTTTGCTAGGCTGGGTATGCGTTGATGTTGGCTGAGTTGGACAAAGGTTGTCTTCTTGGTAAGACGTGAGTTGCTCTCAGCTAGGCTGGATATGCGTTACTCTTGGCTTGGCTGGACATGAGTTGCTGTCTTCTCTGGTGGACATGAGTTGCTCTCTGCTAGGCTGGGTATGCGTTGATCTTGGCTGGGTTGGACACGGGTTGTTCTCTGCTAGGCTGGGTATGCGTTGATCTTGGCTGGGTTGGACACGGGTTGTTCTCTGCTCGGCTAGGTATACGTTGATCTTGGCTGGGTTGGACACGGGCCGTTCTCTGCTTGGCATGATCTTGGCTTGCTGTTCTCTGCTCTGGGTATGGGGTGGACATGAGTGCTGTCTTCTCTGGTGGACATGAGTTCTCTGCTAGGCTGGGTATGCGTTGATCTTGGCTGGGCTGGACACGGCTGTTCTCTGCCAGGCTGGGTATGCGTTGATCTTGGCTGGGCTGGACACGGGCTGTTCTTGGACACGGGTTGTTCTCTGCCAGGGCTGGGTATGGGTTGATCTTGGCTGGGTTGGACACGGGCTGTTCTCTGCTTGGCTGGGTATGGGTTGATCTTGGCTGGGTTGGACACGGGTTGTTCTCTGCTAGGCTGGGTATGGGTTGACCTTGGCTGGGTTGGACACGGGTTGTTCTCTGCTAGGCTGGGTATGGGTTGATCTTGGCTGGGTTGGACACGGGCTGTTCTCTGCTTGGCTGGGTATGCGTTGATCTTGGCTGGGTTGGACATGAGTTGCTGTCTTTTCTGGTGAAGATGATTTGCTGTGTGCTCGGTTGTGTTCGATTTGCTCTCTGCTGGGTTGGACATGAGTTGCTGTTCCCTTGGTTGAACGTTATTCTCTTTTGGGCTGGACAAGATCTGATGCCTATATCACTTAAAATGAGTACGCTGAGGTCCTTCATGAGTTATTGTCTGGCGATGGTCAGTGTGGTAAGGAAGCATGCTCTACGATGTACTTTTGGTTGTAACGAAACAGCATCCAAATGTAATCATCAAGGAATTATGGTTTGTTATTCTGTTAAATGTCTAAATTTAACATTTACAAGTAAATATTGCACACTTGCCTCTCAGCAAGTTACATTTCCATGACAACGTCATTATACTTAATAAGCCAAAAGCCGTAAATAAAATATCTCAATTTGGGAAAGTCAATTTAAGTGATTCCTCTTAAACTTGCTCTCTACCAGGGTAAGGCCACTTCACAGACTAGCCTATTAAGTAGCTAGTTTCGAGAAAGTGAGGCCTCGTTTACTTGAAGCCCATTAGTGTTGGGGATCGGTTTACATAGGGTTTGGCTGGTTTACCTGTTAGCGGGGAACAATCAGCATCCTCATCGGTAGACTAGGACAAGATGCTTGTTGCTGGAGTCATGCCATCTACAGGGGAATCCCCTTTATGGCTGTCCATTTGAGGTTAATGGGTAAATTGTTCGTTTCGGGTTTGGTTAACGATACACTCAGGACCCGGTGCAGGGGGGCCGTTTCACAAAGCGATCGTAGCGCTACAACTGTTGTAAGTCTGTTAAAGAATGGGAATTATGACCATCTTAGCGCTACGACTGCCGTAAGTCTATGTTAAAGCATGGGAGTTATGACCATCTTAGCGCTACGACTATCGTAAGTCTATGTTAAAGTATGGGACTTATGATCCTCTTAGCGCTACGACTGTCGTAAGGCTATGTTAAAGTATGGAAATTATGATCCTCTTAGCGCTACGACTGTCGTAAGTCTATATTAAAGTATGGGAATTAATATCATCTTAGCACTACGACTGTCGTGAGTCTATGTTAAAGTATTGGAATTTTGATCATCTTAGCGCTACAACTGTCGTAAGTCTATGTTAAAGTATGGGAATTATGATCATCTTTCCGCTACGACTGTCGTAAGTCTATGTTAAAACATGGGAATTCTGATCATCTTAGCGCTACGACTGTCGTAAGTCTGTTAAAGTATGGAAATTATGACCATCTTAGCGCTACGACTGCCGTAAGTCTATGTTAAAGTATGAGAATTCTGATCATCTTAGCGCTACAACTATCGTAAGTCTATGTTAAAGTATGGGACTTATGATCCTCTTAGCGCTACGACTGTCGTAAGTCTATGTTAAAGTATGGAAATTATGATCATCTTAGCGCTACGACTGTCGTAAGTCTATATTAAAGTATGGGAATTAATATCATCTTAGCACTACGACTGTCGTGAGTCTATGTTAACGTATTGGAATTTTGATCATCTTAGCGCTACAACTGTCGTAAGTCCATGTTAAAGTATGGGAATTATGATCATCTTAGCGCTACGACTGTCGTAAGTCTATGTTAAAGTATGGGAATTATGATCATCTTTCCGCTACGACTGTCGTAAGTCTATGTTAAAACATGGGAATTATGATCATCTTAGCGCTACGACTGTCGTAAGTCTGTTAAAGTATGGAAATTATGACCATCTTAGCGCTACGACTGTCGTAAGTCTATGTTAAAGTATGAGAATTCTGATCATCTTAGCGCTACGACTGTCGTTAGTCTATGTTAATGTATGGGAATTATGATCCTCTTAGCGCTACGACTGTCGTAAGTCTATATTAAAGTATGGGAATTAATATCATCTTAGCACTACGACTGTCGTGAGTCTATGTTAAAGTATTGGAATTTTGATCATCTTAGCGCTACAACTGTCGTAAGTCCATGTTAAAGTATGGGAATTATGATCATCTTAGCGCTACGACTGTCGTAAGTCTGTTAAAGTATGGAAATTATGACCATCTTAGCGCTACGACTGTCGTAAGTCTATGTTAAAGTATGAGAATTCTGATCATCTTAGCGCTACGACTGTCGATAGTCTATGTTAATGTATGGGAATTATGTTCATCTTTGGGCTACGACTGTCGTAAGTCTATGTTAAAGTATTGGAATTATGATCTTAGCGCTACGACTATCGTAAGTCTATGGTAGAGTATGGGAATTATGATCAACTTAGCGCTACGACTGTCGTAAGTCTATGTTAAAGTATGGGAATTATGATCCTCTTAGCGCAACGACTATCGTAAGTCTATGTTAAAGTATGAGAATTATGATCATCTTAGCGCTACGACTGTCGTAAGTCTATGTTGAAGAATGGGAATTATGATCATATAAGCGCTACGACTGTCGTAAGTCTGTGTTAAAACATGGGAATTATGATCATCTTAGCGCTACGACTATCGTAAGTCTATGTTACAACATGTTATTTATGATCATCTTTGCGCTACGACTGTTAAAAAATGGGAATTATGATCACCTTAGCGCTACGACTGCCGTAGGTCTATGTTAAAGTATGGGAGTTATGATCATCTTAGCGCTACGACTGCCGTAGGTCTATGTTAAAGTATGGGAATTATGATCATCTTAGCGCTACGACTGTCGTAAGTCTATGTTAAAACATGGGAATTATGATCATCTTAGCGCTACGATCGCTTTATGAAACGGGGCCCAGGTACACGCCAGTGATAAATAACCCAGTCCGGTCAAGTCTATCTAGTGATTGATATTATAAGTAACAGCCTCGACCCCGGCATACGATGACCACAATTAACTCTGACACTTGGCTTGTCCACAAGAGCTGCTGATGTTCAGTTCCATCCCCGAATCCCAAAGGTGAGGTGAAATTGGGTTTAACGTCGTGCTTGAGAATATTTCGCTCATATGACGACGTGCATGCGTGTGTATGTGTATGTGCGGCTGCTTGTACTAGCCCAGACTTAGCTGGTTTTATAGTGCTAGCCCACTGAGATACCATGCCGCAGTGAAGCATGGATACCCCACTCAGACACATTATACTGACTCCGAGCCGACCAGTCCTTGTTGTACCCATTAATGCCGAGCGCCAGGCAGGGACCAACAAGTACCATATTTTAACGTCGTTTGGTATGACGCGGTCGGGGATCGAACCCGCGACCTTCCGCTCTCTGGGTGGACGCTCTAACCACTACACCACGGAGGCGGTCCGAATCCCCAAGGATTTTGATAGGTAAATGTTGCTGGATCGTCAAAGAGAATATAACAGTAATCATCTTAGTTTGGTGAGATGTTAATATACTCTCTGAGACAATGATAACTAGCATCATATTTTCTAGATTATACAACTAATAAGAACAAGTTTTCCCAAACTGCCCGTTTATCTAGACTGGTCTGTTCACGACCTCGCCCACAACGTCTCTCACTCAGCAATTTTTAAATATTCCGTTGGGTAAGCAACTAAAATATCCCCACTTGTGTCTGAATAATATTGAGTTTTGCCAACAGACAACACAACTTAGCAGCTGTGTCGGAAAGAATACAATCGTTATCAATCCGTCTCTATCGCAACATTCACGTACCAGTTGAGACTCGGGAAATTATTGTCTTAGATAATTCCAGGACAGAGAAATAAGAAGATGAAAGTTTATATTGAAGCTAATTGTATTTACGAGCGCAGCAGTATTCTAGCATGAGCTTGAGAGCTTTTATGAATCAAATTATTAATGCTTATCTCGCTGACGAGACGTTAGCAGAGCGTAGTTCTGCCTACGAGTATGCTCTTGAGGGAGTGTGGCTTGTCAATGTTAAGCGAAAGAAGGTCCAAAGGAAATCCAGCGTCTGCAACAAGCAAGAGAAACGCAGATAAGTTATCTGATGGGACCCGAGGCACTCTACGCTGTGCGCCTGTCAGCTACTATCCCCTATAGCCGAGGTTGGCGTGAACAAGTCATTAAAGCAAAGGGGAGATATTGGATGCAACCGGTTTCTTTCGCAATTTCTCCAGAAAAAATAACTTACATCGCCACAAAAACGTTACGTAGGATATTTGGCAAAGCAAGAAGGACTAGCCCGTGAACGCAGCTAAACACGTGGAGCAATTATATAGTCAGGTAGTTCTGCCAAGGCTAGAGGGAGACTAATGGGCCGAGGGGATGGAACTGACAGGGTGGTTCAGCGACGCCTGTGGGGTGGGAGTGATGGTGTGGTAATAGTGTCAGGGCATGTGTTGGGTGATAGAACTGTGATTTAGTGACGCCTGTGGGGTGGGAGTGATGGTGAGGTAATGGTGTCAGGGCATGTTTTGGGTGATAGAACTGTGATTCAGTGACGCCTGTGGGGTGGGAGTGATGGTGCGGTAATGGTGTCAGGGCATGTGTTGGGTGATAGAACTGTGATTCAGTGACGCCTGTGGGGTGGGAGTGATGGTGTGGTAATGGTGTCAGGGCATGTGTTGGGTGATAGAACTGTGGTTCAGCGACGCCTGTGGGGTGGGAGTGATGGTGGTGGTAATGGTGTCAGGGCATGTGTATCCGGGGGGGTGATAGAACTGTGGATTCAGTGACGCCTGTGGGGTGGGAGTGATGGTGCGGTAATGGTGTCAGGGCATGTGTGGGGGTCATAGAACTGTGATTCAGTGACGCCTGTGGGGTGGGAGTGATGGTGAGGTAATGGTGTCAGGGCATGTGTTGGGTGATAGAACTGTGGTTCAGTGACGCCTGTGGGGTGGGAGTGATGGTGTGGTAATGGTGTCAGGGCATGTTTGGGGTGATAGAACTGTGGTTCAGCGACGCCTGTGGGGTGGGAGTGATGGTGAGGTAATGGTGTCAGGGCATGTTTTGGGTGATAGAACTGTGGTTCAGTGACGCCTGTGGGGTGGGAGTGATGGTGAGGTAATGGTGTCAGGGCATGTGTGGGGGTGATAGAACTGTGGTTCAGCGACGCCTGTGGGGTGGGAGTGATGGTGAGGTAATGGTGTCAGGGCATGTTTTGGGTGATAGAACTGTGGTTCAGTGACGCCTGTGGGGTGGGAGTGATGGTGTGGTAATGGTGTCAGGGCATGTGTTTTGGGTGATAGAACTGTGGTTCAGTGACGCCTGTGGGGTGGGAGTGATGGTGAGGTAATGGTGTCAGGGCATGTTTTGGGTGATAGAACTGTGGTTCAGTGACGCCTGTGGGGTGGGAGTGATGGTGAGGTAATGGTGTCAGGGCATGTTTTGGGTGATAGAACTGTGATTCAGTGACGCCTGTGGGGTGGGAGTGATGGTGTGGTAATGGTGTCAGGGCATGTTTTGGGTGATAGAATCGTGGTTCAGTGACGCCTGTGGGGTGGAAGTGATGGTGTGGTAATTGTGTCAGGGCATGTGTTAGGTGATAGAACTGTGATTCAGTGACGCCTGTGGGGTGGGAGTGATGGTGTGGTAATGGTGTCAGGGCATGTGTTGGGTGATAGAACTGTGATTCAGCGACGCCTGTGGGGTGGGAGTGATGGTGTGGTAATAGTGTCAGGGCATGTTTTGGGTGATAGAACTGTGGTTCAGTGACGCCTGTGGGGTGGGAGTGATGGTGCGGTAACGGTGTCAGGGCATGTTTTGGGTGATAGAACTGTGGTTCAGTGACGCCTGTGGGGTGGGAGTGATGGTGTGGTAATGGTGTCAGGGCATGTGTTGGGTCATAGAACTGTGGTTCAGTGACGCCTGTGGTGGATGGAGTGATGGTGCGGTAATGGTGTCAGGGAATGTTTTGGGTGATAGAACTGTGGTTCAGTGACGCCTGTGGGGTGGGAGTGATGGTGTGGTAACGGTGTCTGGGCATGTTTTGGGTGATAGAACTGTGATTCAGTGACGCCTGTGGGGTGGGAGTGATGGTGTGGTAATGGTGTCAGGGCATGTGTTGGGTGATAGAACTGTGATTCAGTGACGCCTGTGGGGTGGGAGTGATGGTGTGGTAATGGTGTCAGGGCATGTGTGGGGGTCATAGAACTGTGGTTCAGTGACGCCTGTGGGGTGGGAGTGATGGTGAGGTAATGGTGTCAGGGCATGTGTTGGGTGATAGAACTGTGGTTCAGTGACGCCTGTGGGGTGGGAGTGATGGTGTGGTAATGGTGTCAGGGCATGTTTTGGATGATAGAACTGTGGTTCAGTGACGCCTGTGGGGTGGGAGTGATTGTGTGGTAATGGTGTCAGGGCATGTGTGGGGTGATAGAACTGTGGTTCAGTGACGCCTGTGGGATGGGAGTGATGGTGAGGTAATGGTGTCAGGGAATGTTTTGGGTGATAGAACTGCGGATTCAGTGACGCCTGTGGGGTGGGAGTGATGGTGAGGTAATGGTGTCAGGGCATGTTTTGGGTGATAGAACTGTGGTTCAGTGACGCCTGTGGGGTGGGAGTGATGGTGTGGTAATGGTGTCAGGGCATGTGTTGGGTGATAGAACTGTGATTCAGTGACGCCTGTGGGGTGAGAGTGATGGTGTGGTAATGGTGTCAGGGCATGTGTTGGGTGATAGAACTGTGATTCAGTGACGCCTGTGGGGTGGGAGTGATGGTGTGGTAATGGTGTCAGGGCATGTGTTGGGTGATAGAACTGTGATTCAGTGACGCCTGTGGGGTGGGAGTGATGGTGTGGTAATGGTGTCAGGGCATGTGTTGGGTGATAGAACTGTGGTTCAGTGACGCCTGTGGGGTGGGAGTGATGGTGCGGTAACGGTGTCAGGGCATGTTTGGGTGATAGAACTGTGATTCAGTGACGCCTGTGGGGGTGGGAGTGATGGTGTGGTAATGGTGTCAGGGCATGTTTGGGTGATAGAACTGTGGTTCAGTGATAGAGTGATGGTGTGGTAATGGTGTCAGGGCATGTGTTGGGTGAGTAGAACTGTGGTTCAGTGACGCCTGTGGGGTGGGAGTGATAGTGTGGTAATAGTGTCAGGGCATGTGTTGGGTGATAGAACTGTGGTTCAGTGACGCCTGTGGGGTAGGAGTGATGGTGTGGTAATGGTGTCAGGGCATGTGTTGGGTGATAGAACTGTGGTTCAGTGACGACGCCTGTGGGGTGGGAGTGATGATGTGGTAATGGTGTCAGGGCATGTGTTGGGTGATAGAACTGTGGTTCAGTGGACGCCTGTAAGTTAGGGTGGGAGTGATGGTGGTAATGGTGTCAGGGCATGTTTTGGGTGATAGAACTGTGGTTCAGTGACGCCTGTGGGGTGGGAGTGATGGTGCGTGTAATGGTGTCAGGGCATGTGTTTGGGTGATAGAACTGTGGTTCAGTGACGCCTGTGGGTGGGAGTGATGATGTGGTAATGGTGTCAGGGCATGTGTTGGGTGATAGAACTGTGATTCAGTGACGCCTGTGGGTGGAGTGATGGTGCGGTAATGGTGTCAGGGCATGTGTTGGGTGAGTGATAGAACTGTGGTTCAGTGACGCCTGTGAGGTGGGAGTGATGGTGTGGTAATGGTGTCAGGGCATGTGTTGGGTGATAGAACTGTGGTTCAGTGACGCCTGTAGGTTGGGAGTGATGGTGTGGTAATGGTGTCAGGGCATGTGTTGGGTGATAGAACTGTGGATTCAGTGACGCCTGTGGGGTGATGGGGAGTGATGATGTAGTAATGGTGTCAGGGCATGTGTGGGGTGATAGAACTGTGGTTCAGTGAACGCCTGTAGGGTGGGAGTGATGATGGCGTAACTGGTGTCAGGGCACGTGTTGGATGATAGAACTGTGGTTCAGTGACGCCTGTGGGGTGGGAGTGATGGTGTGGTAATGGTGTCAGGGCATGTGTTGGGTGATAGAACTGTGGTTCAGTGACGCCTGTGGGTGGGAGTGATGGAGGTAATGGTGTCAGGGCATGTGTTGGGTGATAGAACTGTGATTCAGTGACGCCTGTGGGGTGGGAGTGATGGTGGAGGTAATGGTGTCAGGGCATGTGTTGGGTGATAGAACTGTGGTTCAGTTCAGGACGCCTGTGGGTGGAGTGAGATGATGGTGTTAGTAATGTGGAGTGCATGTGGGAGTTGTAATAGTGTCAGGGCAGGTGAGTGAGCCCGAACTGTGGGTGGCATCAGAGGACGCCTGTGGGGAGTGCAGGAGTAGAACCAGGAACCAGTGATGGCCCGTGGAATGGTGTAGAATCGTGGTTCAGTGGGCATGAATTATTAGTAACCAGGAGGTGATAGAACCGTGGCCCGTGACGCCCGGGTGGGAGGATGGTGCGGTAACAGTGCTCAGGGCACGTGTTGGGTGATATGGAACCCGATTCATCCAGTGGATGGTGTCAGGGCCAGGTGGTGTGAGGATTGTGGAGTGCATGGTGACCAGTAACGATGTCAGGGCATGTGTTGGGTGATAGAACTGTGGTTCAGTGACGCCTGTGGGGTGAAGTGATGATGTGGTAATGGTGAGGGCATGTGTTGGGTGATGAACTGGTGTCCAGTGCATGTAGAGTGCATGGTGATAGAACTGTAGTCTGAAATGACCAGCCTGTGCATGAGCAGTAGACGCAGCGGCGGCGGAGTGGTAACGTCGTATTGATGATGGAGTGGCAGGGACGGAGTAAATGGCGTGGTGCATGATGGAGTGGTAACGCGGTGATAGATGGATGGATCGCTGACGCAGGTAGTGGATGGGATGGAAGACAGTCTGGATGCATGATGGAGCAGTAACGCCGGAAAATTGCATGTGATCGGAGTGGAACTGATGATGGGCAGTAACGGTAGTGGATGGGATGGGCATGACGTGAAGTACTGATGATGGAGTGGTATAGAATAGTAACGCCGGTTGGATGGCAAATGTGATGGATGACGTCGCCTGGAATGGATGATGAGCAGGACGCCGGTTGTGTATGGATGGATGGAGCAGTGGAACAGCAACGATGGAGCACCAAGGATGGATGGAGCAGTAACGCCGGTTGTGTATGGATGATGGAGCGAGTGGATGGATGGAGCAGTGGTAGTGTATGGATGATGGTGCGATAGCGCGGTAGTGTATGGATGATGGAGCGGTAATGGTGGATGATGGACGTCTGGAGATGGATGGTAGTGTAGTGTATGGATGATGGATCAGATGGAGGACGTCCGGTAGTGTATGGATGATGGAGCAGTAATGGCCGGAAATGGATGATGGAGCAGTATGGATGTATGGATGATGGAGCGACGTCGGTAGTGTATGGATGACGGTGCCAGTGGACGTCGGTAGTGTATCGGATGTATGGATGGATGGAGCAAAGAAAGCTGGTAACGATGGAGCAATGGAACGGTATGGATGATGGAGTATGATGATGGATGATGGAGCAGTAGTGTGGATGATGAAGGAATGATGGATGTATATGGATGGACGTATGAAGGGTTGTTGTGTATGGATGATGGATGGCGGATGGAGGTATGGATGATGGAGCAGTGGTATGGATGTATGGAGTGGAGCAGTCGGTTGTGTATGGATGATGGAGCAGTAACATCGGTTGTGTATGGATGATGGAGCAGTAACGCCGGTTGTGTATGGATGATGGAGCAGTAACGCCGGTAGTGTATGGATGATGGAGCAGTGACGTCGGTAGTGTATGTGATGATGGAGCAGTAACATCGGTGTATGGATGTGTATACTGATGATGGAGCAGTAACGCCGGTGTGTATGGATGATGGAGCAGTAACGCCGGTTGTGTATGGATGATGGAGCAGTAACGCCGGTTGTGTATGGATGATGGAGCAGTGACGCCTGGTAGTGTATGGATGATGGAGCAGTAACGCCGGTTGTGTATGGATGATGGAGCAGTAACGTCGGTAGTGTATGGATGATGGAGCAGTAACGCCGGTTGTGTATGGATGATGGAGCAGTAACGTCTGTATGTGTATGGATGATGGAGCAGTAACGTCGGTTGTGTATTGATGATGGAGCAGTGACGCCAGCTGTGTATGGATGATGGAGCAGTAACGCCTGTAGTGTATGGATGATGGAGTAGTAACGCCGGTTGTGTATGGATGATGTAGGTGTAACGTCGGTAGTGTATGGGTGATGGAGCAGTAACGCCGGTTGTGTATGGATGATGGAGCAGTAACGCTGGTAATGTATGGATGATGGAGCAGTAACGCCGGTTGTGTATGGATGATGGAGCAGTAACGCTCGTAGTGTATGAATGATGGAGCAGTAACACCGGTAGTGTAAAGATGACGTTCTTCAGCGGTTATGTATGCATGGGGTGTTTACATGGAAACGTCGGTAGTAAGCGAATGTAGGATAGATTGAGGTAAACACGGTAGTACTGACTGGCTGACTGACTGCAGTTATGAATAATAAAGACAGCAACATGTGTGATTCAGAGAAATATAGTGCTGGCGAGGTACACGTTGGGGTGATGCAGTGTGCATCAATGAAGTGGTAACCATATGGAAGATATGTGTGATATTCAGTAGACACACACGTGACCAGTGGAGCGGAACTGCAGGTGTGGTATAGATTTCACTGATATAACTTGCTGGCAACAGCGACGTCAGGCTATGGAGGAGATCTATGTCGGTAGTTACGGGGCAATGCTACAGGAGGTGCAGGAGCAGTGTTCTGATGCATGCAGATAGGCTGGGGATGCTCATGTTATGACTTCCAGAGTCAGTCGATGGGAAATACTACGGCGTTATCGGGACGCTTAGAACAACATTACGCACACGTCGGGCATCGAACCGGGATCTTTGGTGAACGTTTTAACTACTTGCCCATCAAACTCTCATAAAGATTTGTCTTACTGGGCTCAAGCACTTTTGAAGGAGACTTCGGGGTTTGTATGTGGAACAAATAGACCAGTGTGTGGAATTAAAGTTGCAGTTCAAGTTTCAAGGATGAAAACGGATGTTGAACAAATAGACCCGTGTGTGTGGAATTACAGTTGCATATTTCAAGTTTAGTTTCAAGGATGAAAACGTGTTGAGATCTTAGTGGTCGGAATTGGTCACAATACATTTTAAGAGTGAGTATGGTTTTATGACGATTTTAACAATATTCCAGCAATATCACGGCGGGGGACACCAGGAATGGACTTCACACATGGTACCCATGTGTGGAATCGAACCATTGTAAGAGGTCTTCGTACACGAGCGGACGCTGTCTGGTCTGATCAAGGGCGGTGGGATAGCCTAGGCTAACCGGGTTCGATTCCCCACATGGGTACAATGTGTGAAGCCCATTTCTTGTGTCCCCCGCCGTGATGGTGCTGGAATATTGCTCACAGTTCACCAGACTCACTCACTCATTCTAGTCGCCGTTACATAGCAAGATAACTGCTCACTTCACCAACTGCGTTCACCAACTCTGTTTATCACAAGAATGACGGAAGCACAGATCTTTGAAGCTTTGACCTTGTGGGGGCTGACACCTAATATCCGGCGCATCTTTGTTCACATATGCCAACAGAACTTTAGTGACACTATACATGTGTATATTGTTTAGCTTTGTCGTTGTCTAGGAAGTGACCGATCATCTGATTTCTTTTACATTCCCTCTGTTAATTCATCAATCCAAGACATATTAGCAATAGTAATATGAACGAATCGGTTGTTCCTTAACTTCTTTTGAGCAGTTTATTAACAAAAAATCAGCACAACAAAGGACGGCTCACGAAGGCCCCATTCCGGCCAAAGGAAATGAAGAAACTCTTAAGAAATGATTGTAAATGATATCAGGTGTACGAATGAGAATGAGACTTTCTTAATTAAATAAATATATTGAAAAGCAAACGAAACTACGCCATTTTATGTTTTAAAATTGTATGGCAACATGGCAATGAAGATCTTTGGTTTCAGTTTTTAAACAAAATTTGACTTACAAGTTACTAAAATATATTAAAGTAATTTCACTCTATTCAATACTTGGACATCATATTTTTGAAAACATAAACACTTTGCTTTTTTCGGCACAAATTTGCAACATGTCTAACATGGTATGAATATATTTCTACAGAAACAATTGACAAATTAACAGCAATCAATGCTAAAATGGTTTCGAGGTTTACATAAACCTAAACGGTTGAAAGAGAACGAATTTTGAAAAGGCTGAATTTCTAAGAACAACACAATTCCAAACAATACAAAAATATGGTAAAATCTTCTATCAAGTATTTGATCATACTCACATTTTCTGGTAATTCACAATTCCAAAATGTTCAGTCTTTTCTTTTATTCTAGCTATAGTTATGTATTTGATTTTGCTAAAACAAGGATAGACTAACTTAAAGTCCAAGAGCTACAATTATATCAGTTAAACACATACATTTACAAACACAAAACAACCCCCAAATGGGGACGATCTTAGCCCATATATTAACATAGACTAAGGTAGCCTTAGCGCTAAGGTTGTTTTGTACAATGGCACCCTGGACCTCCTTTCACAAAGCACTAAGGTGATCGTAAGTCACTAAGGTAACCTTAGTGCAATGTATAAGAATGGGAGTAAAAGTTAACCTTAGTAAACGTTGCATCGTGCAAAGAGCCCCTGGTCAATCTAAATTTGCAAAGTGATTTCAGATTAACGTTGGATTTCTTTCTTAATTCATTCCCAAGGATCTGAACGCAAAACAAGTACAAGGAGTGGAGCACATTTTAAAATGATGAGCGTTGTGCCACAAAAAAGGCAGGTGACTTGATGATTCTTTGTTTCTGGCAGGAGTGAGTGGGTACTGTTTTACGCCGACTTTGCCAGTAATATCACTGCTAGGGACACCAGAGATGGGCTTCTGACATCGTATTGCATTTTTTTGCACAATCTCTTCGCATCAGTTTAAGACATCCATTGAGGGCTTTAATTAATTTTATACGGTGTTATTTAATTATTTACAACCTTATGATAATTGTTTCTTTGATATTCTGGTACATAATGTCGTATTTTGTGGTTCTTGGCGTAATCTCTTCATATAGGCGATATTTTTACGTAAAACATACAGTTCAAGGCTTCTTCCATGTGACGTCCTGATAATGTCAACGTTGGCTGTTACTGTGTATGAGTGTTAGAAGACAGTCATCCCGATAATAACAATACGTCAGGAATACCATATCAGTCCTAGCCAGGGTGGCTCCACACGTCGTGCCAGCGGTAGGAAGAATCGAACCAGAGATCGTATAGGAAGAGTGACTGAGGCATCCGAAAAGGGCTTCATGCATTGACAAACAGGAGCGTAGCAAGCCAGTTTTTCGTGTAAGCCCGATAGGTTCCAAAGCTTTGTATTTAGATAGAATTGAGGGCTTGCCCAACCATTTTAGCAAAAATCATGTGTAAGCCCGGGTTTTTTTAATAATGGAAGCAACGCCCCTGTCAAATTTTTGGAATCTAACCTGGGCTTTCGCTGTGACGAACACTCTATCCACTAAACAGACCGTCTGATTAAGAGTGAGTGAGTGAGTGAGTGAGTGAGTGAGTGAGTGAGTGAGTGAGTGAGTGAGTGAGTGAGTGAGTGAGTGAGTGAGTGAGTGAGTGAGTGAGTGAGTGAGTGAGTGAGTGAGTGAGTGAGTGAGTGAGTGAGTTTGTTTGGCTTTACGCCACCAGAGCTGGGCTTCACACATTGTACCTAAGTGAAGAACCCTTGTTTTCAGCGTGACGAGCGAACGCTTCAACCACAAGGCCTCAACACACCCTTAGTAAGAAGAGAACAAAGACAGTGTCAGCAGTTTTAATTTCTTTATTACAACATATATAGCCATATCACGAACAATTAACAATATAGTACAGTTAAATAGAACATGAATCTACGACCAAGCCATGACACTTGGAATACGGGCAGTGTGTAATGAAAGGGCTCCATATATATAGATCACGTGAGCACAGCGCCCCCTCGCGGCAGAGTTTTCATGGCAGCCCTTAGCACAAGTGACATCAAGAAAATCCTTTTCAACTTGGACTTAATTAACACTGAAAGTCATACCTCTCAACCATGTGATTGAATTACTAAAATGGAGTAGTATTCTATACGATGTTTTATAACAAAGGTAAAGGGGTACCGGTAAAGGGCCCTATTTCTGTAATCCTCTGCCTGTATGAACAATCACGGCTACTGCCGTATCGTACGAAGACAACCCTGTTTTCATAGAATGACGTTATCAAATATTCACAGACCCGAACGTCAACAAATTTGTGAAAACATTGGCACGGTTCCTGTGTGTTGAATCCTGTACTCGAATAGGAACTTCTCAACAGGAAGGCAGGAGGTGTTTTACTTACATAACGAGAGACTACTGGGTCCTATCAATCCTCGACCATTTAATTCTTCTTACACCATTCTGTCTTACACCAATTCAGCAGCTAATGGTGATACTACTAGCAGAGACTAAGACACTATTTCATATTTATCAATTAAATAGCTACAGCAAGGTTTGACTGACGCTTAGACTCTGAATATATATATAATTTTGATAGAAACAAACAATTCCTTTTGAATTGAAAAGACTGACTGACTGAGTTTGGTTTTACGCCGCTTTTAGCAATATTCCAGCAACATCACGGCGGGGGACACGAATTGAAAAGAAGCCTAGCTATAGGTGAGAAGGGAGATTCAGAATAGACTTGCTTTATTTAGGACTTTAGCATTGCAGAACTGGAGAGGTGGAGGTGAAAATATTGCGGTTCAAGGACTACCAGACAGGCTACACCAAGGCTGGAAAGGGGCGTTAGCATTATCCCCCTCCTTAACATTACGTCGGGTTTGAGACGCTAGTGATTCACAGGCGCTGGTGAAGCTTCATAGACAATGACATGAAAAATGAAGTGTTCTCTTAACCATGAACCTTTTTCTGGCTAGAAAACACAATGTCTGCTGTTGTTATTCCACTATTGACATTCCCTTGTACATATATGTAATGCAAGGTACAGAGAATAGAAAATGAAAATGTACTTTGACCAAGGGTCACTGATTAATCAATCATACTTTAATGCATATTTATAAAATATTATAGATTATAGCTAGTTACCTCAAAGAAGACAGATTGTCATACTGGGCACGTGCGGGGTAAAAACTAAACCAGCAGTGAACAAAATACATCTTTAACATAACAGTGTATCCTGGGAAGCATTGACAAACAGTAGTGAGTGAGGTTAGTTTTACCCCGCTTTTAGCAAAAGTCCAGCAATATTACGGCGGGGGACACCAGAAATGGACTTCACACATTGTGGGGATAGACCCGGGTCTACGGCGTGACGAGCGAACGCTTTAACCACTAGGCTACCCTACAGTCCGACAAGCAGTAACTTCGACCATAAGGTATGAACTGTCAGCGGACACGTTGACGTAGCGCTACAGATCTCTGCTCGTATATACCCAATAATTAACCCGGCCCACCTTTCGAATAAAGACTATTCAATCTCAATCGATTCTAACTTCGGTGGATATTTCCTATCAATATGGAAAGGGTTCTGTCGCTTATACTACATCAGGATCCCGATCCACGAAGCGCTCGTAACATTACGACCTGTCGTAACTCTATAGTTTACCATAGGCTTACGAATGGTAGCACTACGAACGCTTTGTGGATCAGTACGCATGTTTTGAAAAAAAAACTTCTTCAAAGGAGTCCCATTAACGATACTGATAGCTGCTATTCACATATTTGTCAAACACTGTAAAACAAGTCTACATTTACAAACATGTAAAGATCAATTTTACAAAATTTATAAATTTGTGTAAACATGAACTTTCCAAAATTGTACATTTTGTAAATCATCAGTATTTTTCTTGTGTATGATGTATGGTAGGATAGATCAGTCATGTATCCTTTCGAATATGCTGTGTCTTAATAGCGATGATATTAAAGAACAAGTATATAAATCCTAGCTTTTTCTGCAGGTTCATTGAGGCAAGAAAGGCTCAATTTAACTTTCGGCAGTTTTGGTTCATTATTTTCGAGAGTTTTCAAAACATTTATCCTTTCTGAAGCTGTAGCTGGAGCCACACTGTAATTATATTCAGAAGTATAATGATTATTGGGCGAATGTTTGTGACCTCAAATGACAGTGCTACAGTCTTCCCCTTCAGAAAGGACAACAATTGGTTGCCCTGTATGTGGTTTTATCAAATAAAGGAAGTCAGCGAGTCATTCCAAAAGGCTAGGAGACCTCAAGTAACACATGATCTAAATCTAAAATTAGAACTGATGATAAATGAATAAATATACATTGTATATTCCTATCACAATTTCTTTGAGAAGTTGTACGTCATAATTGCACTTGTAACATTGTCTGAAATAAACTTTAACATGGTGAAGATACTTCAATCTAATGCTTATTAAGTTGGGTGTATTTAAGTTCTTTGTATTTGATACACCTGTGTATTTTACTGCAACCAACATCGGGCCGAAAACATACGATTTACCAGAGCACTTAATGCATTTTCGTGCAGCTGAACCTAGATTACGTGGAATATATCTACAAACGCCAGCTGAAGATAGGTACCTCCACCATTAGGGAGGAGGGTAACGTTTCTTTTGGCGTTTAGTGTATATCTACAAACACCGTTGTGTCCAACTCTGATGAGTCGAAGCCACGGTTGTCTCGAACTAAAAGCTTGGTCCCTTCGTACACGTTCTTTATACTTCTTATATGTTGCGCCGAACCTCGGATAACTCGAAGTATTCACGCAGATCAACATCGATACAGCGGTGTTGTATATACAGCGCCACCTGGAATTACTTTATGGAGCATGAACGAGTGCGTGGGTGACACACGACCATGGTAATTGCCGCTGTCACTTTGTATTAGCGACCAACTTTGACAGTCTTTGAAGATCACCCACCGCAACAGGAAGTATACTATTTCCAAGAACGCAGATAGAGAAGAGACAGTCAATGGGTTACATTACCACATAGGCAACACGCATTCTTCATGCTAAGGAAGGGGTCGCGCAGAACAGTCCCTATCCCTAAGTCAGCTATTTTCTGCCCGACTTATGCATAAACATCAGTTTCAATCAACTAGTGATTGTGAGTAACGTTTAACGCCGCTTTCAGCAGTATTCCAGATACACCAGGGTGTGCCTGCTGAATGTGGGATAAAAGCCCGGAGTGATGTAGGTGTTAGACTAGACTTGCTCAAGTCTGTAAGGTAATAATTAATAGTTTAAATGATAATTTATAAAACAAAAATATAAACAACAGACTGGGGTCCCTAGAGTTGCCTCTTTAAGGGATAGAATTACTATACATGACTAGGCTTAGCAGGTTAACCCGACTAGCTAGTAGATATATAGCCCCGACTAACCTCAAAACATAATCGGGACGAACTGGGATTCGAACCGGGAATATGTCTCTGGCGTATTAAAGAGACGCCATCACTGTACAACACTGTGCAGCGCTCAAACACGTTCTCTCATGACTAGTGGTTTGGCATGTAGTATAAACAATACACGTTATCATTTTTTGTCGAAGGTTTTACTTGCTTGTATAACTTCGTTACACAAATTGAAATTGTGTAACAACTGTTAAGGCGTTTGTTTAAATCACACCTCTTAACATTTTTACTTATATGCGTTGCCAAAACAAATACATCGAGAAGATAATACACTGTGTATACATCTACAGCCTAAACGCCATCTTCCAGACAACCTTTCGAAATCAAAAAAAATAAACACATTAAACAGGCTCTTTGTTTTGTCTACAGCATCAAGTCGTAAATCATCGACTTGTCAACTGCTAAATACTACGTTTCAGACAGGTACCCAGTTTACAGTGCAGATAAATGACGTCTCTGGTTAAACAAGTTAAACTCTTGACTAGTTTTTCACACGCGCCCTATCCAACTACATGTATTCCAGAAATCATATGCTTTATAATACCCTGGAAGTGAATCTCAAACGGTTAAAGTTGCCCATATCGTAGACAATGTAATGGCAACTAAATGTTATAAGACGAAATGGTATGTAAATGCTTAAGCTTCATTTTAGCTCTTTACATTGTCTTGAGCCACTATTTGTATATTCAAATGCTGAATAGTTTTAAAAGTGATTCATAAACGCATGGTGATAATGGAAATAATATTTTCTATGATTGACTCGATTGCTTATATTAGATTTTAAACCTAAAATTATAGAAATAAGTGTCCCGTATATATTTAGAGGTCAAGGTCAAGGTCAACCCGATGTTATTTCCTAAGATGCAATGGCCAAAGATACGATGTCCTTAGATGTAAGTACTGTTATGACCCATGGCTTGCCGTATCTTGCACAAATTCTATTTCTTCATGACATTACCTCAAGCTGCAGAGCATGAAACATATATTATGAGTATCTTAAAGGAGGATTGAAATTGGGAGACAGAGAAAGTTTGATTCACCTCCACAAAACAAAACTGTGTGCCCTACTTTAAATTGTATAATGCAGATCAGCCTAACAATAAATTACACACAGCGACGTCTCAGTTTCAACCAACGCTAATACCAATGTCTCGACCTTGGCTGGGAATGGACATGAGACACTGTAGCTCACCTTGAACACACTACAGCGCTATAATAGTAACAAACACTAAAGGAAGCAGTTGCATGACTGTTTCTTGCTTGGAGCCCTAACAACTAACGTGTACTCAAGTTAAATATCAAGTTGGTGATACCAAGTTGACCTCTTGGTGATCCTTCGGTATGTATTTGAGCTGAGCACTGCACGTACATTGAATGTATTGATGTATCTTTCTGAAACCACTACTATAATCATTTAAGGGAACATATATGTAGCAACATGCGTTGCCATGAAATGTTATTGGATTTTAATATTGTCAAACATATAAATATGTAATATGTTTACATTGAAATGTTTTTTTATTGTTACAACCCAAAGCTTAACGTATACTGCACCAATATCACGGCTGTTTTAAAGGTTGAAACTGATAACAAAAATCAATATATCATAGTTATTACCCAAAATATGTATGTAGAAAAGCCACTAGAAACAGACCAGTCTACGTTGTGTTGGACCCTACACACCGCTTTCAACCTTTCCAAATATGATGTGTTTAGGGTCGGGTTTCAAACTACGTATTGGCTATGTACAAGCATGCATTAACATCGTACACAATGATAACTTATCTCATCGTCTTGCTTTGTGCCCCCTTCCCATCCCATGTCTGTAAGGGGTGATGTCAAAACATCACAGCCATCGAGAAAATACATACAGGCCGGGGCGTGCCCCGTTTGTGATGGACGTATGTAGTTTTGATATCACCCCTACAGGATCACAACACTGCCTTAGCCCACCCGTCCAAAACATAATGCCCTCCTTCACAGGCTGTGGGCAACGTACCAATTGGGCATGACGGTTAAAGAGAAGTCCAGTAGCTTCCAACCGCTAGGAAAACGTATCACATTTCTTGCTTGCACATACAAGTCCACGATTTCAATGATCCTTCTTGCAGATCTAAACATGTGTCAAGGTCAAGGTCAGAAACTTGTTCATAAACCCCTTTTGGAGAACGAGTTTGAGGATGAGGGTCACCAACGCAACTCTCGACCCTTCCTGCACAGTTGAATATGTTCCGGGAATCATATATGGAACACAGGTGTTACTATTATGGTCATAATGAAACTTACATCCCCATTTGAAGCAATGCCCCCTTGCTGAAAGACATTTAGTACTGAGACGCTTCCTTCACCATTGCCACACAATAAACATCACAGAAATAGTTTGACACAGCACTACAGGCACTGAACACTTGCGTAGGAAGGTCTTAGCCTATAGCATCGTCACGCCTGCTTATGAAAGGTGAATGCTGCTCTCTCTCTCCATCCATTGGACACTGAAACAATACTGAAACAAATCCCCATGTTTCGATTCTTGTATTCCTGTCCAATCGTTATTTACCCACTGACATCTTCGTTCAAGGTCCAACGCCCAATACAAACGTCAAATCATCTGTAAGGACGCGTCAACCTCAGCATCCGAGAACCTGTTGCCAGGCAGATTCAGAGAAGCTTAAGAGGAACAGTAGGTATTGTACTCCACATGTACAGCACAAATTGTAACATTGCTTCATTGACTAACTCAATATATCTTATCCCTAGGTGCGTCATGCTCCTGGGTCTAGCACTGCGCTTTGGTCCTGACTTGCTGGTTGAGGTACACCAGCGATGCACTGTTTCCTCTACTAACGTACACATCAAACAAATAGTTTGTATCGGGTTTCAAACCCGTAACTGTCTTACTGATGACAGCCTTCGAAGGCTGTCTGTGTCTAAACCTTGTACAAAATACCTTTTCTTTGTCACTGCGATGCCCGGGATCAGAGCATCGGTGCTTCCGCACTTTTTGATTGTTAACTAATTCCTTTTTATAAAGACAATATTTTTGTTTAACAGTATTGCCCATCCAGGCAAGTGTCACATTTGTGCATGTGGTAAGTGTGTTGAAGACTTTGATTCTGTAGTCCATTGGGAGACGTGGCGGGCGGTACCTGCCAGACTCGGTAAAGAACACCATCACTGAACGTTTGCGTTTTCTTTTCCCCTTAAACCTTAAAATATAAGTGCCTGCAGGCAAGTTTTTCATTCTCACAATTTTGATCCTCCTAACCTCTGATTTATGGATAAGTTTATTGTCATACAGAATCTCAAAGGGAAGAACCCCTCTACATGCTTTCAGTTCCAACACACCCTTCTCGACCTGTTTGGTCAACACCAATTTAACACTCACAGAACGCACACCCTTTTGTAAAGTCACCGTCTTCCTCTTCTCATTTTTCAGCAGCGCTTGTCGCCTCTTCCTCTTCTTCGTCTGCACCACCGTGCCCACATATGTGGACGACCTATTTGTGTTTTTATCCAGTACGTACACGTCTATGAAGTACCTAGTTTCTGGTTTTGCTTTGTCAAATGTAAAATTTGTTTTTGACCCAACACATGTGTAAAACAACCTTTTGGGCGACATTGCTTTGATCGGCTTGGCTTTCCTTTGCCGTTCTCTGTTTTTACTCTTCTCCCACTGAAAACCAAACCCGCTGTGGGGAGGAGGTGTTGGACACGTGTCCCCCTGTAAATGAGCCAAGACCGAGCAATGGCTATGAAAGTTCATTGCTTTGTTCACAGACACACAGTATTCATGAGAGGGGGTTTGTGGCAATTCCGTTGGGATGCTATTGGGATTCCATGAAAATTTGATGGACCTTCGTGTTGTTGCTGTCACCCGGACCTTTGCATCCACGGGCAACAGAGGGAACAGTGACACAGATTCTGGCTTGGTGGTTGCGAACAACTTCACTGTGGTATCCGTGTTGATGGCTTGCAGACTAAGAATGTAGATTCCTTTACGAGCATTGCGCGTTGTGTAGACCATATTACCCCCGCCTTTGAACTCTTCTACCCGCACTGAAGACTGACCTCCCATTTGGGTTGAAAAAGTGTCTGAAATTAGAAATATATATATTAGACACTGTTCAGGGGTAGTGAGTGAATTTAGTTGTACGCCGCACCCAGCTATATTCCAGCCATATGGCGGCAGGGTTGTAAATAATTGAGTCTGGACCAGACAATCCAATGATCAACAGCATGAGCATCGATCTACGCAACTGGGATACGATGACATGTGTCAACTAAGTCATCGAGCCTGACCACTCGATCCCGTTAGTCGCCTCTTACGACAAGCCTGGGTTACTGAAGATCAATTTTACTCCGGATCTTCACGGGTCAGTGGTTGAGTAGGGGAGAGAAGCGTTAGTATTCGTTGAATGTAACTATACCTTCCCATTATCTATTTAATATAAGGTATTGTATGTATGTCTCTGTGTGTGTGTCTGTGTGTGTGTGTATGTGAATGTGCTTTTGTGTGTGTGTGTGTGTGTGTGCGTGCGCGCGCGCGCGTACGTGTGTGTGTACTTGTGTTTGTGCGTGCGTGCGTGCGTGTTTACCCATACCCATATTCACCCATACCTATAGACTGTGTTCTAAGAGTTGTGATGGGGAATTTTATCAGCTTCTATCATGATACTGAGTACAGACGATTTGGAACATTTCTATCCAAATCCTGTTCTTGGATGATCAAGCACACTCACTAATACACTATCGAAACACATGCCAGCGCTATATCATTGTTATGTGCCTTAGCCCACAAGGACGGATGATAGCATGAAACATGTTTAATCTGCACGTGAAACTGACTATTGGCACCAAGAGTTCAAATAACGGTAAACATTTAATATCAATAGAGCTAACTAATTAAAACAAACAGTTCTATCAAAGAAACAGAACACGATTGCCTGAAGAAAAGATCATAAAGTCATACAACAAGTTCCAATATTAATCAAAAGGTGCTTAACGACTCACATTTCAGTTCAAAATTAATATCAATAAATAGCGGTCGAGCAATAGTTAGAACCTCATCAATACAAACAATATTACGTGCATTCAAACTCGAAAAGCCGACACATTTAATGTTGAGAGGTAGTGCTTCATTTCAAATTATTTTTTGGGCAAACCAGAATGGACATATAATGTACAATAAGATATTGCTTATACAGTCTCTAACTGCATGGACTCGGTTTGAAGTGTTAAAAAGTAGTGATTCTTTTCATATTCAATGTTTTTTCAAACCAGAATGAACGTACAATGTACAATAAGATATTGCTTATACAGTCTCCAACTGCATGGACTCGGGTCGAAGTGTTAAAAAGTAGTGATTCTTTTCATATTCAATGGGTTTTTTCAAACCGGAATGAACGTACAATGTACAATAAGGTACAAATGTACAATAAGGTACAATGTACAATACGATATTGCTAATACAATCTCCAACTGCGTGGACACCTTGGGTTGGAGTCACGGTCACTGTGGTGTGCTGGGTTCTCATCAATCCTTGTCAATTCGTTTCATTTACTCCCCTTCCGCCAGCTAGACGTTAGCTAAACATGTCTTCAATGGCAAGCAAACACGTCCTAGTTGACACAATCATTTGAACGGCAACAAACGCCTCAGTCCTAACAGCTTTCACAGATCTCACAAATTCTAGGAAACAAAATATATGGGGTGACGGTAAACACGGGCAAGAAATGGGGAGCGAAAGGAGGACATGACTAGGGGCCGACTGCCCCGCTAATTTGAAAGTCAAATACAACACTGTGCAAGCATGCCTCCATGTGTTGAAATAACAAACATCCCATTGCACTGACCAAAGTGCATTTTTCTGGCAAAGTTGAAATTTTCAGATTTGTACATTTAGGAGTGAGCGTGTGTTACCGAATCACCAATGGAGTCAGGAGAATAACATGAATGTCCCATTGCAAGTGTATTCTAATTTTCAACACAAAACATTCCGGTATATTTCAACCAGAGAGGTAAAACATCTAAAGAATTAAGGTATATTTCACCAGTGGAAACAAACAAAAGCTACAAAGTTAACAGTATATCTTAGTTTTAAAGACAAATAGTTCTGAATTTTTTCAGTCAAATGTATAATATGCAAAAGTGTGTTCAATCCTGAGTATTGAAGAAGTATAAATTAAGGTTTATAACAAGTGGACTTACACAAAGGTTACAAAGCTATCGATGTTTGCTACGACAAAGATTTCACGTCATAGTTCAACCGCAAAGGCATAAGTTGACAAAATGCTATTAAGTGTATGGTGCAGTTTAGTTTGAAAACAAAGATTCCTCGTTTTATTTCAAGTATAAAGATATATCATTTCAAATATATAGGTCTGTAAACAATGGTAAAAAGTAAAGATGTTTGTTTCTATATCGAATATATATGACGTTTATTATCGATGTTGATATGATTGATTGGGTTCTTGTGCCAGCATTATTATTATAGATGTATGAACTATTGTCAGCTTTCATAACTACTATCAAAATGCCCCTTTTATGACGTGATGTTGTTTTCATTCATATTTAAGATAGGAGATAATTAACTGTAGCTGAAATCTGATTTACTGATTATGGCTGATTTCCACTTCTATTAATATGAATAGAATCAAAGACTTTAGGTCTTATCCTAACATGCCAACAATTATCAACATGTAACTTTATGTACAGCAAAGCTGTTTTATATTACACAACCAATAAGTGAGCGATTGGATATGGTTTTACGTCGCTTTCAATCATAGTTCACCATTCTACCAGCTAGGGACGCCAGAAATCAGCTTCATACGTAGTATTCACGTTGGGAATCAAACCTGATACCTCAGCGTGACGAGCAAACGTTGTAACCACTAGGCTACCAACAGCCACGCCAATATATGTTATTTACTGTAAGTTGTCATTACAAGTTGTTTTCATGTTATTCGTGTTTAAACACAAATCTAAAATTACGCTTTGAATCCGCGAGAATTTATAATTTCAATTACAAAAGACACTATATTTAAGTCAGTTATCAAACTGATAAATTGGTTTGTTTATTTTTTCTAAGCTGAAACGATTAAGTGTATTTACATTCACAGACGTAACGACAGGTGTATTTACAAACAGTCTACACCCTGCCATACACCGAGAAGTGTGATGCAAGCCTTCTATAAATTAATTACTTTTGGAATAGATGGAGCTTGGTAGTTAAAGCGTTTGCGTGTCACACCAACGTACCTGGGTTCCATTACTCATTACCTTATCGTAATAATAAAAATAATTAGTGTGAGTTGGTTTTCAGCTATATTGGGTTGAAAATGGAATGGAAATGGCCTTCTTGTAATGAGTGAGTGAGTGAGTTAAAATTTAACGTCAAACCTGCAATATTTCAGCCATACAGTGACGAGAACAAGGTTAGCATATATGATAAATATGTCACGAAGGACAGTAAAACATTACCTACTTGTGATAACACGCGAAGACGTTCAATACAGCTCTAGATCATTCACGAGAAGTTTTACGTATATCGTCTCAATAGACGTTAAAGAACACCCAGATTTTGTCACATGACATATTTTGGTCATAGCATGACACATTAACTAAAGTCATATTCGAGTAAAAATATGAGGGTACTTTATTTCCCGATGGATCGTAAGCAGGTGTTTGGGATTCACGGTCAAATGTGTTTAATGCAAGATGTTCCCGAAAAGGTGACCCAATGGTTGCATCCTTACAAACACATGGAAAGGCAAGCCAAGTGTTCACCTAAAACACACTGGATTATATAGTCAAGTGAAAATAGTGAATTTCGGACGCCATTTCTTGTCACTATTGCGTCAAATTAAACAATGTCCCCCTTCCTGCATACCAGAATGCGTTTTGATACCAAGGCACTGAATACTGTAACCCTGGTCATTCAACCCAGGTCATTCAACCCAAGTCATTCAACCCAGGTCATTCAAGAAGGTCATTCAACCGAGGTCATTGAGGTCATTCAACCCTGGTCATTCAACCCAGGTCATTCAACCCTGGTCATGAAACCACAGAAAATCATTCAAATGCTGCCCCTCAGTTCAAAGTTCCCCGACCTACGTTCCCCGATCCACGTTCCCCTACCGACGCCCCCGATCCACGTTCCCCTACCGACGCCCCCCGACCCACGCTCCCCGACCAACGTTCCCCTGGAGACCGGTTGGCAAGTTGTGACAGTACCTTCAGGGTCGCCTTCCTCGCTGCTGCTTGTCATGGCTCTGTTGGTGAGGACGAAGGTGATGTTCGATGCACACGGGGTAACCATTATCGAGAGGGGCACTCCGCCCTCCTCAAGGAGAAAATTGTAACTGTAAACAAATGCATCAGCATTAGTAAGGAGTAAACATATTTGCACGCAGCTCTTAACAATATTGCAACCACATCACGTTCAGGAATACCAAAAATGGTGCTTTACACATTGTACCCATGTTCAGATTCGAACCCGGGACTTTATCGTGACTAGCCAGTGTGTTAACCATGGATACCCCACGCCGTCAGCTTAGAAATTGATTAACAGAAAACACTTGAGTTTCATAAACACAATGCTGTTTTTTGATTGGCTGATATTCGTTGCGGTATTGCGCTCGACGATGTCACTGATTTCATACTGTTGTCTATATAGTCTTTGTTTGTAAATAAAGTGTATTTAAGTGTATATCCATAATTTACTGAGAAATAATGTCAACATGTATTTGGTTTTTGAAGTTTATAAACTAAAAACCGGTGTGCACACTATGCATAATAAACATTTTGCACAAAGATTTGTACCTTTACAATTACTGACGTCAGTTAATAAACATATCTGTTATAAATGCCGTACTACAAATGAGATCAATCCATATGACACCTGTAAAAATGTCAGACAAACATGGTAGTGCCACACGTATAAAAACGTCTGACAAGGATGGTAGTACCACGTGTGAACACGTCAGACAAACATGGTAGTATCCCATTTGTAAACAAGATTTGAACATAGAGTGCACTTAAACCAATCTCGGTCTGGTGAAGGCAGAATACCGGTTAAGGTTACGTGAATGGTAAGTCGATGATACCACCAGGTGTCCGTGAAAAGGATAAGAATGTCCTGCTCTAGTGGTAAACCAAGTCAGACATCTCTGGTAGTACCACACACGTTAACCCGTGACTGTAACAGGTGTCCGTGAAAAGGATAAGAATGTCCTGCTCTAGTGGTAAACCAAGTCAGACATCTCTGGTAGTACCACACACGTTAACCCGTGACTGTAACAGGTGTCCGTGAAAAGGATAAGAATGTCCTGCTCTAGCGGTAAACCAAGTCAGACATCTCTGGTAGTACCACACACGTTAACCCGTGACTGTAACAGGTGTCCGCGAAAAGGATAAGAATGTCCTGCTCTAGCGGTAAACCAAGTCAGTCAGACGTTAACCCGTGACTGTAACAGGTGTCCGTGAAAAGGATAAGCTGGTAGTGTACCACACACATTAACCCGTGACTGTAACAGGTGTCCGCGAAAGGATAAGAATGTCCTGCTCTAGCGGTAAACCAAGTCAGACATCGCTGGTAGTACCACACACGTTAACCCGTGACTGTAACAGGTGTCCGAAAAGGATAAGAATGTCCTGCTCTAGTGGTAAACCAAGTCAGACATCTCTGGTAGTACCACACACATTAACCCGTGACTGTAACAGGTGTCCGCGAAAGGATAAGAATGTCCTGCTCTAGTGGTAAACCAAGTCAGACATCTCTGGTAGTACCACACACGTTAACCCGTGACTGTAACAGGTGTCCGTGAAAAGGATAAGAATGTCCTGCTCTAGTGGTAAACCAAGTCAGACATCTCTGGTAGTACCACACACGTTAACCCGTGACTGTAACAGGTGTCCGCGAAAAGGATAAGAATGTCCTGCTCTAGTGGTAAACCAAGTCAGACATCTCTGGTAGTACCACACACGTTAACCCGTGACTGTAACAGGTGTCCGTGAAAAGGATAAGAATGTCCTGCTCTAGTGGTAAACCAAGTCAGACATCTCTGGTAGTACCACACACGTTAACCCGTGACTGTAACAGGTGTCCGTGAAAAGGATAAGAATGTCCTGCTCTAGTGGTAAACCAAGTCAGACATCTCTGGTAGTACCACACACGTTAACCCGTGACTGTAACAGGTGTCCGTGAAAAGGATAAGAATGTCCTGCTCTAGTGGTAAACCAAGTCAGACATCTCTGGTAGTACCACACACGTTAACCCGTGACTGTAACAGGTGCCCGTGAAAAGGATAAGAATGTCCTGCTCTAGTGGTAAACCAAGTCAGACATCTCTGGTAGTACCACACACGATAACCCGTGGCTGTAACAGGTGTCCGCGAAAAGGATAAGAATGTCCTGCTCTAGTGGTAAACCAAGTCAGACATCTCTGGTAATACCACACACGTTAACCCGTGACTGTAACAGGTGTACCCGGGAAAAGGATAAGAATGTCCTGCTCTAGTGGTAAACCAAGTCAGACATCTCTGGTAATACCACACACGTTAACCCGTGACTGTAACAGGTGTCCGTGAAAAGGATAAGAATGTCCTGCTCTAGTGGTAAACCAAGTCAGACATCTCTGGTAGTACCACACACGTTAACCCGTGACTGTAACAGGTGTCTTCTCTCATCAAGCGATGAAGCCCTGCACGCGACTAGTAGACGGAACGAGTAGAAACTATGGCGTTATCCCTTTAGCAGTCTCGGGGTCTGGCACTACCAAGCAGTCAGCCATATACATGAGGTGTATACACTGAGAAATGTATGAAGATATCAACAAAATCATATCTCAGGATGAAGAATTCACGAAATCTGCAAAGGGTTCAAAAAGTAGATTTTTGTATGATGTTCATATTTTAACTTTTAAAATTCTTTGTTTCAAATGAGCCATGATTAATTGAAAAATGCTCCTTTGCACAATTATTTCGTTTAATGTGTTTAATTTGGTTATAGAAAATACTTAATGGTAAGATGTATTTCGTTTAAGATAGCCTCTGATGAATTGCTTCGTGTATGTCCATGGGCTAAAAGTGTCAATACGAAAATAAAACACAATCTTTAAATTTTTAAATGTTAATAAATATATGAACATCGATTCAACACAATGTAAACATCACTCATCTTTATAATTCGACTAATTCAAGAGTCTTCCTACTACCCGTCGTAGACAGGAACATATATATATATATATATATATATATATGTTGTATATGATGTAACCAAATTAATGAATCAATTACTTTTTAACCGTGTAAAAACCACCCCTACCTTTCCGTCTCCCCCTTGAGAAGATACACGGTCTCTTCGCGACCATCCGTCATCATCCTGGTATCGTAAAATACTTCTGGTCGATCGTTTGCAAAGTCGTACTGTCGTCTTCGATTGGACGCTGATATGCGTTGTCCGAGTGAGAGGGGAAGCATGAAGATGGACACGAGAAGATTCCCCACAGCAAACCACCACAACAACCGTCGGAGAGGCAGAGGCATCATAGTGTGCCTGTGAACACACAACACGGCAACTATACTCACACAACCAGGAACGATACACCAGCTAACGCAAGCATTCTAACACTCCTCGCTGGCCGGTAAACTTGGATGAACTCAGTGCCGCACGCGCTGTCCACTGTGAACTATGTCTAAATGGACAAACTGATTAAGGGGTTACGTGACTCCGTTACATCATGTCTAGCAGGCTGCTTGTTGCAGAATGTATTTCACTTGGAACACGAGAATATGATCCAGACTGGCTTTCTTCTGTTATATTTACTTAACAAAACTGTCATGTAATTAATAGCCAAGGGCGAGTGGGTGATTTTGATCTGAAGCGGTTTCATATTAATAATAATCACAAAGTGATTGATTGCTCATGGCGCAACATCATTATTACAGTAAATCAGTGTGCATCCGATTTTCATTTTCAACTCCATGGGGAGTATATAACCCAAGCTGGCCGTGGGGTGCTAGAAGGTTAACAGTCATCTCAACTGTTTCACATAAATCAGACTGCCGAGTGTGAGAGAGCAACCCAAAGTGTAGAGTAAGGCTTAGTCTCTGAATATGTATAATTTTGATAAATCTAAATACATGCATTTAAAATGAAAAGGAGTCCCACTAAGTTCGGTGATTATACCTGGGGGAAATATAAACTCCCTTCATTAAAGGCTTTAGCATTAAAGAAAGGACTGGACGGAAGAATGAGTGGGTATGGTTTTAAGCCGCTTTTAGCAATATTGCAGCAATATCACGCTGGGGACACCACAAATGGGCTTCACACATTGTACCCATGTGGGGAAATGAACCCGGGCCGTTGGCGTGACGAGCGAACGCTTTAACCACTAGGCTACCCCACCGCCCCTTGGACGGGAGAGAAAATAATGCAGTTCAGGGACTGAGACTATCCAAGGTGTGCACGCTACCACTGGGGGTGACAAATAACGAACCATAGAGCGTCATTGCCGGAGAATAACCAGTTTCGATTTTTCAAAGAACCAGATTCTATTGGGTGTAAAGGGCAAAGTTAAGGTTTAATGTATTCGAGTGAAAATCATCGATGAACAAAGATAAAACAGCCTCGTTGACGCATTGCTAAAACATATGAGCTTTACATCAAACAATAAAATTTTAAACACGAATCGGTACAAATGTGAAATAGTTACATCATTTTTTATGAAGTTTGATGCGCAATTAGTTTCCACAACCTTAGTAATTGACACACAAAACACACCTGAGATCTGACAGGTAACCTTCAGGTAATTGAAGGTGTAATGAGGCTCCATTTAGTGCTTGAAACAACAGATTAATTACAGGTAGTACTTAGGGCGTCGGTAGGTTATTTCAATAAGCAGCACAACGCTATGTAAAGGGATTTGAGTTTTCTTCGAACGTCGAGGATACGCCATGTAGTGGCACTTTAAACACAGCAGCGATGCTGATAGCCCTAGGAGTTCCACTTCGGGGCAATTGAAGCTGTACCGTTGAAGACGAGTCTGCAGTCTCCATCACGTTGCAGACACTGGCGGAAGTAACGAGGTAACTGATGATAACTTAGACAGCTAGGAAACAGTTGAGAAATGGAACAGTGCGGGTCAGCCAGACCATGCAGACAAACAGACCTTGCATACATGCATAAAGCTCGTGTTCGGCACAGACCATCAAATGCATGTTGAACCCAGACCATACATACATGCATTCAAGCGCATGTTAGCCAGACCCCCAAGCACGTATGTACTGACAATCACACAATCAAGCATACCGTGAACGCATAAAGGCACGAATCATATTTTGAATATATGTAGACAACACGGTGAACGGGGGCCCAGTGAACACAAGGAGACATTCTAGCAAGAGTGAACAAATACAGACATTCTAGCACATAGTGGTTGTTTGTTGTTTACGGACACTCTCGGCAATATTCCAGGTAAAAGACGGCGGTCTGTAAATAATCAAGTCTGCACCAGACATTGTCTTGCACAAAATGAACACATCCGTGCTTACAGTCAAACCCCTAGTGAACAGGGGCGGTGGGGTAGCCTAGTTGTTAAAGCGTTCGCTCGTCAAGCCGAAGGCCCGGGTTCGATTCCCCACATGGGTACAACTTGTGAAGCCCATTTCTGGTGTCCCCCACCGTGATATTGCTGGAATATTGCTAAAAACGGCGTAAAACCACACTCAGCCAGTCAGCCTAGTGAACATATATAGATATTGTACAACATATAAGGAAGATATACATTGTAGCACACAGTGAACGCATACATTCAGGCACAGGGTAACATATATAAATATTGTACCACATATAGACAATAGACACTGTAGCACATAAAAAACAAGCGGACGATATACATTCTATCACATCGGGACGATATACATTGTAGCAAACATACTTGCATACATTCAAGCACATGGTGAACATGTACAGATATTGTACCACATAAAGAAGATAAATATTGTAGCACATAGAACACGCGGACGTTCTATCATATAAGGAAGATATACATTGTAGCACACAGTGATCACATACTTGCATACATTCAAGCACATGGTGAACATACAGATATTGCACCATATAAAGAGGATGGATACTGTAGCACATAAAAACACGCGGACGTTCTATCACATAAGGAAGATATACATTGTAGCACACAGTTAACACATACATACATTCATTCAAGCACATGGTGAACATATACAGATAGATATTGTACCATATAACGAGTATAGATATTGTAGCACATAGAACACACGCGGACGTTCTATCACATAAGGAAGATTATACATATGCAAGCAATTACGGAACACAGGCCCACCATGACGTCAGCCACTCACACATCGAGTAACAAAGATAATAAAACCTCCAAGGCAGTCTTATTCAGCTTTTCCTTTAACACTAAGAAACTGTACGTCGTGTATAATGTCAACCACCCTTGTGCCTCAGTCACGCTGTACTGGAATACACTGCCGACTGCAGTGGACGGATGGGTGAACACAACAGGAACGGTTGAGTCTGTCTTGTTTTACGTAGTATTCAATCACAGGAACAAAAGTAAAATATTCAGCTGGATTCAATGACTTATAAAACCACACTGATGCTTTGCAATATTTCATTTCACAAGACAGTATTGATAGCCATATGCGGGGACGTACGATGTGCCACCGCTGATGGATTTCGATACGTGCATGTTGATGAATCCAGATCTAGTCGAGTAGCCACAGACTGAAGATGTTTACAACCTGCAACAGTGTTGGGGATCGTACAGGCCACTCTCGGTCATAATCCGTCTCCCTCCGTGTGTAAATAATGCCTTAATTGAAGATTTCAAGGAGCTGACAGAAACAATTTTGCAGAGAGAGTTCGTGCCAAAGGATAGATCACATTTGTATACAGAATGGTGCGGTTCATCGCCGAGCATACATCACGTATGTATACAAAATGGTCAGGTTTTTCGCTAAGCACAAATCACATCTGTACCCAAACCGGTGTGGTCGATGCCTGTGCATGTATCACATCTGATATAAAGGACAGAGCGATTTATATCCGAGCGTGCATCACATCTGATAGAGAGGAGAGAGCGATTTATATCCGAGAATGTATCACATCTGATATAGAGGACAGAGCGATTTATATCCGAGAATGTATCACATCTGATATAGAGGACAGAGCGATTTATATCCGAGAATGTATCACATCTGATATAGAGGACAGAGCGATTTATATCCGAGCGTGCATCACATCTGATATAGAGGACATAGCGATTTATATCCGAGCGTGCATCACTTCTGATACAGAGGACAGCGATTTATATCCGAGAATGTATCACATCTGATATAGAGGACAGAGCGATTTATATCCGTGTATGTATCACATCTGATATAGAGGACAGAGCGATTTATATCCGTGTATGTATCACATCTGATATAGAGGACGGTGCGATTTATATCCGAGCGTGCATCACACCTGATATAGAGACAGAGCGATTTATATCCGTGTATGTATCACATATGATATATAGGACAGTGCGATTTATATCCGAGCGTGCATCACATCTGATATAGAGGACAGCGATTTATATCCGAGCGTGCATCACATCTGATATAGAGGACAGAGCGATTTATATCCGAGCGTGCATCACATCTGATATAGAGGACAGCGATTTATATCCGAGAATGCATCACATCTGATATAGAGGACAGAGCGATTTATATTCGAGCGATTTATATCCGAAGCGTGCATCACATCTGATATAGAGGACGGTGCGATTTATATCCGAGCGTGCATCACATCTGATATAGAGGACAGAGCGATTTATATCCGAGCGTGCATCACGTCTGATATAGAGGACAGCGATTTATATCCGAGCATGCATCACATCTGATATAGAGGACAGTGCGATTTATATTCGAGCGTGCATCACATCTGATATAGAGGACGGTGCGATTTATATCCGAGCGTGCATCACATCTGATATAGAGGACAGAGCGATTTATATCCGAGCGTGCATCACGTCTGATATAGAGGACAGCGATTTATATCCGTGCATGCATCACATCTGATATAGAGGACAGAGCGATTTATATCCGTGCATGTATCACATCTGATATAGAGGACAGTGCGATTTATATCCGAGCGTGCATCACATCTGATATAGAGGACAGAGCGATTTATATCCGTGGATGTATCACATCTGATATAGAGGACAGTACGGTTTATATCCGAGCGTGCATCACAGCTATATACAAACTGGTAGGGTCGACACATCTGTATAGAGAGAGAATAGAGCAGTTCATTCCCGGGAGACATCAGATCGGTATACAAAACGGTGCGGTTGATCCCGAGCACACGTCACATCTGTATAGAGAATAGTGCGCTTCATCATTGGGAGGATGAGATCCGTTTGTACACAGTTCCTACTTTGGTCACATCAAGTCTGTCTCACGGTCCCTGAACAGAATTAGTTTCCTTTCCGCCAAGCCCTTTCTGCAATACTAATGCCCTAAAGGAAC